TTGAAGATCCCAGTGAGCCACAGGGGTCGTGTTCCATGGGTTACAGCAGCTGATCCCTGATTCAGGATCTGTCATTGTTTCAGGAACTGCCTGATTTAGAAGATGTAACCGAATTTCCCCCAGAAGAGGAAATCTTTGTTCAAAAGGTAACACTTGTATTAACTCCAGGAATGAAACTTCCCTGAACAAAAGCACAAATGTTCTGCAAAGTGAGGATAATCTAAGTTGTGAAATGCTGGTCTGGGAGGTGCAATCAGTTATGCATTTACAAACTAAAATGGATGGTTTCAGCAGATCATATCAACTTGTAAATCTTTTTTTGATTTTTATATTATTTTATAGCAAAAAGAGGAGAATGAAAACCTAAGATCAAGTAATGCACCAGTTACATAGCTTTAATTTCTTAGTAATAATATTATAACATGTAATGTTGTAATGAAGACTACTCTTAAAATACACTTCACCAGTACTAATATGCTGCAAAGGACTGACTAGAGAGAACAAAGCACCTGCTGCTGAATAAAATCTGACATTTCAGCTGAAAACACGGAGAGGTTGAACCTCCTCTGCTGCACTGCAGGCCAGTCCTCGTCCACATTAGCACTTTGCTTTGCTCAGACTAATCTTTTAGGCAAAAGCTCAGGAACAGAAACAGAAGGGGCCAAAAGAAGGCAACAAAGACTAAAAGCTTTGCCTCTCATGCCAATCAAAGAATCATCCTGGCCTTGCTGGAGGCAGAGGCTGGTACATGTTCCTACAAGTCTCTCCAAGATAACTTTTCCAAGAGTCAGCACAAGGCAGGGAATTTATTTTCTCTGGTCACAGACTCGTAACAGGGTTGCAAAGTGTCTTGGCCAAGAAAGGCTCCAATTAACAGAAGGCAAGGGAAGGGAACAAGGGATTAGGGAAGGAGTGTGTTAGCAGCTGTCTTGCTCCAAGGGTGCTGAGCTCTCAGCTGAAGACAGGTGAAGATGTCAGCCAGGTTTGCAGCCCACACACTGCTGAACTGCTGAACCAGGTCTTTTGTGAACTGTCACTCCTTTATGGTCAGTTGGTCACTGCAGGCTGAGAAACAGGTGACCTGTGGGCCAGCCATGAAGCAGCAGGGCTGTGGGGGAAGCACATCTTCCCTGCACTGCAGGAGAACAGCACATCACAGCTGGCAACTGTTACATGGATCCAGGCCATGGTTACCCATCCTTCAGCTTTTATATCTGAGAACAGTGTATTTTCAATTAATTACCTTTTCTACCTTTACAGCAGGACTATCACCCAAAGATTGAAATCATTTCTGAAGTGACAAATGACAGCGATTCTGCATTAGAGGAAAACAATAAAAGCATGTTTGAGAAATCACTAGAAGAAGTTCCAACAGCAATTTTTTCAAATGTGTGTAAGAGCCATGAAGAGCACGAAGAGGAGGAGCACTTAAGACCCCTTCTGGAAAGCTTCTTTACAGAGCCTGCTAATTCAGAAAGGCACCTGGAGATAAAAGATAAAAAAGCAACCCCCTTGAAACCCTTGATACAAGAGGTGGTCACTGAGCCCAAGGACCACCTGCTGTTGTCACCAGTCTGCCATCAACCAGATGACCCAAGCCCATGGGAAGAGGATGGTAAGATTACAGTGACTTTATAATCACAGAGAAAAAGGTGGGTGGCACATGCACACTAAAAGTAAGGATCTGTCCAGCTCTTGTTGAAGATTGCTGGTTACAATCACCTCTTCCTTTTATTTCTGTGGGAATCCTAATCAATTAAGAATTAAAATGGTTATTTTTTCTACAGAGGATTTCTTGCTGAGTTTCATTTAAATGGTTTTAAAAAGTTGGGCTCTGTGTTTCTCTTCTCAGTATTAAGGACCAGCAGTGAGTTTGATTTGTCTGGTCCCTCTGTGCTCTGACAGGGAATGGCAGTGATGCCGAAGCACAGGGCCTGGCTGAGGGCGAAGGATGTCCCCACAAAGCACCAGCTGCCAAGGACACTGAGGGGGGATTGGATTAATCCCTTTGGAAAACAGCTGGACCACATCTGGAGCCCAGCAGGTGGCTGACTGCAGGGGAGAACCCCAAAGTGTGGAGCCCAGCAATGGGACCATCAGCACTGACACCACCACCCCCGGCTCCCGGGGCAGGAGGAGGCTCTTCACTGCTGTGCAAACCACTGCTCTGAGGGTAAATCCCAGGCTCCTGTTCTTTGTGCCTTTGCATCCTTCTAGAAGTTACTTAGTTAAGTGTTAATGTCTCAGGTTTCAGTACAGATGTAGTTTCAAAGCAAAATGTTAAACGTATCTGTGATTTGAACTAAATAAAGATTCTGCTTGTAACCACACCCTGTGAGAGGTGGCCTCATCATCAAGGGCTGGCCATGTTTTTGTGACACAACCACCACCACCACATCAGCAATGGCCTAAGCTCTGAGTGACCTCACTTCAGTAAGCCCCACCCAAGTTTAGGAGAGTGTCTTTTTGCATTTTTCTATAAATCCTTAATATTTCGTGATAAATAGAATTGTAGATGTGCACATTTAAAGAAATAAAATATTACTATGGGCTTGTTGAAAAGATGTATCTCCAGTTAGCTGGGCTTAGGTGCCATCTGGTGGCAAGAGAAATGGATCTCACAGCGACACAAAATAATTGTAAAAGCCCTCAGGGAAGACAACACAATTGCTTTAAATTTCAGCCATTTTCCACTTTCCATGGATTAAAACATGCTGGTAAAATCCTTGGCCTCCAGGACAGGGCGGGAGGGTGAGCCAAGGGCCTGTGGAGAACAGGCTTGGCTGAAAGCACCAGCAAAGGAATCTGAAATTTATCTCTGAAAGCAAGAAAAAAGCATACATTTTGTTTTTTAAAAAAAAGGCAGCAAGTGGTTTCAAGAACTACAGATTCCTTTACTCTGATCCTGATTTTATCAGATACACCCACCCTGACCAGCATTTCTGGAGAATTCAGCAGCTTTCTGAGCTGTGCTTGCCACATTTTACACATGAGGTGTCTCCAGCTCCTGTGTGTTCACAGTGACCACAACACATCAGCAGGGCCTGTGTGAGCTCACGGTAAATCTCCTGAATGCTCACAGGAGATTTGCCTTTGGGAAGGAGGAAAGGAGTAAGGGGTGAAAGGAGTGAGAGAAATGCCACAGCAGGACTAAATGAGAAAAAGGAAACATGTTTAATTAGTGTTTCTGTAAAACTTTACAAATGTACAGCATAGTGCAAAAGGCATCTCAGCACATCACCTTCAATAAATGAACAAACACCCGAGGAACACGAGCTTGGCTCTTCACAGCAGAGCCTCTTCCTGGAGGTTCCTCTGTCCCTGTCAAACTCCAGTCCCACATTTACAGCAGAGCAGAAAGCCTAAAGAAAACCCCCAGAACCCTCCCGAGAGGCTGCTCCCCACGAGCCCAGGCTGCTCTGGGATGGGGTCAGGATGAGCTGCAGCCCAGGATGGGGTCAGGATGAGCTGCAGCCCAGGATGGGGTCAGGATGAGCTGCAGCCTGAGATGGGGTCAGGATGAGCTGCAGCCCGGGATGGGGTCAGGATGAGCTGCAGCCCAGGATGGGGTCAGGATGAGCTGCAGCCCAGGATGGGGTCAGGATGAGCTGCAGCCCAGGATGGGGTCAGGATGAGCTGCAGCAGCTCTGCCACAGCAGCTCTCGGAGCTGGGTCATTGCTCAGCACAACCAGACGAGCCAGGAGGACACTGAAGTGAACACCCAACCTCAAGCACGTGACAGGCTTTGGAAAAACGAGGCAAAACTACTCAGGAGCTTGAAGTGAAGCATGTGCTTAAATACCTTGTTGGGTCAATACATTCAGTGTTCACATTTCAGCAGCCTGGAGGGTGGAAGTTCAGAGAAGGATGTGAATCTTGAACATTCACTGTCGGGTGTCAGCAGACACCAGACAGTCCTCAATCATCTCTGAGAAGGGAATTAAACAGAGTGCAACTCAACGACTTCCCATCGCTGGAAATGGCAAAACAGTGGCAAATGGGCTGATCTGGGTAAACTTTCTGAGCACAAATCCCTTCAAAAGGAAAACCTTTTCCAGGATACACTCAAGCACATCATCTAAATACCAGGCCAGTGGGGGCTGCCAGAATTTTCCCTTAGTCCTGAACACAAAAACAGTGGCTGGGAATAACTCAGAAGCTCTCCCACCCTGCTCCTGCACAGACTGCAGCACCGAGGCAGTGACAGAGCTACCAGCACACAGCAGTCAGCTGGGGGAAAATGGGCTCAGAAGTGAACATAATGGTAAATGGATGGAGGAAAGGGCTGTGACAGGAAGGTCCATTTAAAACATGCTCATCTTTTTGTGATTTTGAGCCTGCACTCATCTGATTGACTGACTGCATTTTGGTGTGGATTCTGCTTGACCAAGATGCTCAGAAATACAATTTATAACCAAGAATTGTCATGGCAATGAACAGCTTACACCTCCCTGTCTAAGCCCTTAGGAGGCCTGAGTTAATTGAATTTCCTGGGTCTGTTCTACTGCAGTTGAGCAGCTTTCCTTAGGAAAAGCAACTCAGGTAGAGTCTATTGAGATAAATAATCTGTTCTCATTAGAACTACAGCATAAAAAACAAAGCTCTGCTTTGTTGAGAAACTCAGTCATCAGAAACCACATGGAAGGGGAAGATCAGGTCAGCCTTTGAGGCTGCTCTCAGATGCACAAAGGACAGAAGAAAAGTTTGTGGGACATGGTGGACTAACCCTTCTGCTTCTCTCCTACACTGAGCAGCTGAGAGTCCTTCTAAAAAGGGGATCCAATCAATTGAACCGTTTCATCAGATTTTATACACCAATAAACCAACAGGCACATCTTCAGAGGAAATAGAACAGGTCAAAGCCAAGGGAAAAAAAAAAACATTGGACTGGACATGGAATACTTAGCCAGCACCAAAACCCAGAGTGTGCTCCCTCAGTCCCCTCTGCACATGAAAAATTGCATGGGCAGAAGAGTCTATCCCTTTTTTGTGTTTTTTAAAGTATGGAGTGCCCTGCCTTTATCTGAGAGAAAAGAAATTTGGGGCAAAACAAATCCCAAACAACAAATGCTCTTAACTCAGCGTGGGATGGTTTGTGGCCTGTGATGGTCTGGAGCTCCCCTGGGAGCCACAGCCCTGGGGGTCACTCAGGAAATGATCTTCTGCACACCCTGAGACATCTGTTTCCTCCTCACCCTAGGAGGACAAGGGAGAGGCACAGGTGCATCCCATCAAACCCAGAAAATGGATTAAAAAATATCTGTAGAGCATTGGATTCCTTTCCTATTTCAAGAACAGCATCAAGAAGGGTCAGGCATCTTAGCTAATCTGTGCTGCCCCTATAAAATCCCACAGTTTGCCAGACACTAGTCAGGATCACTATTTATGAAGTCCCAGATGGACTTTCAAGCTACTTATCACTTACATTTTATCAGAGGTTTTGAAATTTCTAAAAGCATTTTCAAGAAAAAAAAATCCTGCCAAGTTCTCACTCCCCCTAGGAGCAAGCACCAGAAACAGTATTTTGTTTTAAAAAACACTGACAACTAGGTGCAGGGAGAGCAATGCAACAGCTACCAACCATTTCCATCTACTCCAAAAAAAAAAAAAAAGGGCACAAAAATAAACTCTCTGTTGGGTTTCTGAGTCACTTTTGTTTCTTTACATTCAAACCTGTGGATGCTTGGGTGGGTGGGAGGGAGATGGTGGTTCCTGGAAGCAAAATCACTGGCTGTTGTCTGTTGAGGAGCTCAGGTTTAAAGGGATGTCCCCTTGGACCCCCACAGAGGACAGGTAGGAAGCCACATTTTCAGATGGAACATAGAGGGAGGAGCTTTCAGGCAAGCTGAGGAGGTCGTTTCCGAAGAGGGACTGACGGTCGAGGAGGAACTGCTGGGCACTTTCCAGAATGGCATCTTTCCCTGGGAATGCAAACACACAGGAGAAAACTCAGCTTCTGCAGGGCAAACCACCCAGTTTTATTGAGCAGAACTGAAAAGGGACAAATCCCCCCTGCAGCAGCAGTGAGGAGCCTCACTCCAGGCAAAATCACTGGGAAACACTTGAGTCAAACTTGGACTCCCTCAAAAGCCCCTTAAAATCCTGGGAATCTCTGCAGGTCACCAGGTGGGTTCTGCCTCTCAGAAGCGAAGGAGGGATGACCAAATGGTTGGAGACACTGGGAAGTGGATGAGAGCAGCTTTCCTTCTCCTTCACTCAAGACCTGTCTGGTTTTCCTCCTCGTTGTAGGAAACCTCTGCCAGTTGTCCCATTATTCCAGCATCCCCCCACTGCATGGGCCAGAAAGGCTTTGCAAACAGGGGATGCTCAAGGACTCCTTCTGGTGTAGCTGGGCTGCTGTGGCAACACTGCACTGGCAATCATGGAAGTAAAATAACAACTGTGGGCTGTTCCCTCCCCTGGCAAACAGGCAGAGCTGGCACTCTGAGCGCCTCAGTGCCAGCCCTGCTCCCACACTGCTGCTCCTACCTGGGCAGGTGTTGTTGAACGGGGGGTTGAACACTTTCGGGGGCAGCTCAGTTGCATTCTTCTCCAGATCCACTGTGAGTCGCTGCATCTTGATGCAAAAATACAAACTACAATGTACAATTATACAAAGACAGGGGAGCTCGTTAGAACGAGGCCACTTGGGAGTGTCGGTGCCTCAGCAGGCTCCCAGCACCCACCAGCACCAGCAGCCATCCTCCCAGCCTCACCTGCACCTCGGAAACACCCAAACCCGCGGGCTGCAGGGCACATCTGCCTGAAGGAGAGGCTGAGGGAGGTGCACTCCCCTAATCAGCACTGGCTGATGTGGTCATGTCACCCGAGGCAGCCAGGCTGCTGTGGCTGTGGCTGTCCCTGCCCTGCTGCCCAACAAACCAAACCCATCCTCTGCAGCCAGCAGCAAAGCAAAGGGATCTTCTTTCCATTTGCCTGTGACTGTCCTTAATGAAGACTAGTTTTTACTTTCACAGGGCACAGGGACCTGCTGCAGGTATTGCTTCCAGGCTTCTCTGTGCTCGTGGCTTTCTGCAGGACAAGCAAATCTGAGGGCAGGCTGCACCAGCTGCTGGGAAATCCAGTGGCTCCAGCACTGCACTCCTGAACCCTGCAGCCTCCTTTCCTGGCCCTTCCTCTTCTGCAATCCCTTTTAAAAGGGAACAGCCCCTGCTTCCAAGAGTTGCTAACATTAACTATCATCTCTTCAGACACTCTGCCTCTAAACTCAGGTAGTGGAATTACCTGGGAAATTCAGAATCATTAAATCAAACCCTAAAAAGGACGTTGACACCACGAAGATGGCTTAGAGACCTTTCACACTTCATTAGAGTAGCTTACACTTGACCTGTGCATCTGTGGAGATGGCAGAACCATCCAACCCTTCCTCCAACTTGGCTATCAGTGAGGACTGAAAATTCACCCTCTATCATGCAGGAAAAACAACCCAGCCATGACATGTGCTCCCAACCTAAACACTTCTATGAGCCCAGGGTTCCCTTCACTGTTTGTTAAATCACCACACACACTTCAGAAATGTCTGTGTCGATGGCAATTCCAAACAAATGCTGCCAAACAACTTCTCCTTGTCCTTCATGCACAGGAATGCACGAACCTCTCTCCTAACTGCATGTGGTTTTACTGCTCCTGGAATGTTCACAAACAGCTGCACTTTACAAAGGCATGTTTGTAAAGAGCTTTGGCACAGAGACACTTGCAGAATCTGTGGTATTAGTAGGATGTGATGCTCACACCAGGAGAAAGTTTAGAGCAGCCAGTTGCAATTGAAGACTCCAGGACACCAGAGTTTGCCTCTAAACAAAGTCTGGCTAAGTGGGAAAAAACAGGTCAAGAGTAAAATACAGCCCTGTCAGCCTGCCCTCAGGAGATGTGTACGTGCTGTGCTTTACCCCACTCTCCCCTCTGGCTATGAAATAACTCCTCCAGTTATGCACAGCTCTGCTTTGCAGTTACATTATTATCCAAGCAGCCTGGTCTGGTGGAAGGCGTCCCTGCCCATGGCAGGGAGCTGGAACCAGCTGAAAGTCAAGGTCCCTTCCAGCCCAGGCCATTCTGGGGTTCTGTGACTGTTATTTGCAAATCTCAAACACTCATCTCTTACCGGGGACAGACTGGCCTCCATTTCAGTCACGTTCCACTCACTCAAAGACAAATTGGGATTAAAGACCTGTTGGGAGACAAATCCAGTCAGGGCTCTGAAAGGTGGGAGGGTTTGAGGTGGCCACGTCCTCCCCTGGCTGCTGGGGGGTTTTTTGGCCCTGCACTGAGTGGAGCTCCAGGCAAAGGCTCCCTGTCCTGGCTGGCAGCACGGCCAGGAGAGCCTGGGCTAAGCCAGGGCACCTGTGCTGGTCCCAGGCCCTTTGGAGGGACAGCACAGACACCTCGGGGTGCCAGGGGCCAGGCCAGCTCTTTGTGCCCCTTTTGCACTGCTCTGGGCACTGCCAGACTCAGGGGGGCTCTCAGAGCATTCCAGAACTGGCAGAGGGCATTTACATCACTGCGTGGCAGTGAGTCTGAGCAATCTGGGAACAGGAGCTGTTGATCTGGGGCAGAGTTTCGTGATTCATTCTCACTCTTGTGACGTTAGTGTGTGGGTAACAGGAAAATGAGAAACATCTCCTAATGAGAAACAAGAAACAGGAACCAACAGAGCCAGTGATAGAGCAGGCCATTAGAAATGCTCTCTGTAAAGTCAAAATCAATCACAGACACTTGGGAAATGAGTTGAGGAGAATAAGATCGATTTTTTTAAATGATTTTTCATTCCTGTTTATCCATGCAAGGTTAAAATGTGCCTGCATCTGAAGCACCTCCTCCAGGGAGCACATTTTGACATACAGATGTACATACTCATGTACAGAGTTATCTGATTATTGGCAAAAACCTTTCATACACTATATGCACAACAACAGAGAAATGAACAAACCTTCCTATTTCTGCATGTACAGCCCAGGAAAAAGCCACCATTTCTAAGGAAAGGTGACCTGAGAGCTGAGGCAGATAAACCCCTCAGCAGAGAGAGCTGGACATCAGCTACACTTCCCAGAGTGTGGGAAAGGGGGAGAGGGGAAGGCAGTAAAAGCTAAACACTGTCTAGGAGTATCTAAGATGCAGAAAATAAACTAACCCACACAAAGTAATCACCAAACTCGCTAGAGAGTCACATTAAACCTATTTTACATAAATTTGTCAGGGCTTATGTTGATTTCTTTGCCAAATGCACTGTGTTTTGTGCTCTGAAAGTTCAAATATGTGTATTTGCAGTGTAAAAAGGAAAAACATCATTTAAATCTGAGATCCTGCTGGTTCTTGTGAGCAGGTCAGAATGGGGCTGTGACTCCACAGGCAGCACGTGGCAGATAAAGTGCCCCACAAGAAGGAGCAGCAGGATCTGATTTCCAGCCCAAGGTGATCACTGGCACTCTGACAGCCCCCACACCCCAGCAGCACTCACATCCAGCAGGCTGGCAGGCTCCAGGCCGTACTGCTGGCTCCTCAGCAGCAGCTGCAGCCCCTCCAGGCTCCAGTCAGTGCCCTCCAGCGGGTCTGAAATATCTGTTCTGAGGAAACACAACAGGAAACGCTGCCACAAAGGAATTTGCACAGACATGTATCCAAAGCAGGACTGAGCAGCCTCCCAACAGGGTGCTTGTGCTTAAATCTCATTTTGAAAACCAAGAGCCCACTGCCAGTCTGGTTCATGCCATGTAACTTGGTTTAATCCCAGAAGTACAACTCAGCAGAGCACACAGGGGACTGGGCTGATGGTAAAACAAGTGAGACTCCCCCTCTCCTGGGTGACACAGGTGGTTTGGGGATGGAGAGTGTGCAAACATCTCCTCAAGAGTGGGAAAATTAAAGCTTTCCTTAGGGAAAATCCTTTTAGAGGCACTTGAAACCAGAACAGGCTGCATTGCCATCCTTATGGATCCAAGAATTACTGTTAACTGATGCTTTTTAAAGGAGTGACTTTTAGCTGCAGGCATTCAGCCTGCAGGCTGCATTTACTTGAAATACTCAGCTAAAGGAGCAACTGTGAGGCCCTGCTGGGTTTAATCCCCCCAAGAGCTATAAAAAAACATCTCTTAAACTCAGGTCTTTAAAAAAAGGATTATTTTTCCTCTAATAAAATGTTCTGAAGTATCCAGTGGATTCAGAAGGAGGATTTTGATTCTCTGCGAGGACCTAAAGGAAAATGGAAGCTTTTCTGATAACTCCAACGAGTGTTTTGGGTTCCCCACCATTCCTCCCCAGTCCTCCTTACAGTGCTGCAGTTGCCATCAAGAATGAGCTGCAGTTGCACATCACCCACCAAGCTGCACCTTCTGCTGCTGAGCTCTCCTGAACACTCAGCCATGACTTCAGTGCTGCTGGGACTTCAGTCTCAGCCCACAGCTGCAGGGGTGGCTCTGTGGCTGAGCCCAGGGGCACTGTGCTGATGCCCCTGGCAGATGTGCAGCACAGCCCAGTGGCCTGCCAGCCTGCAGCACAGATGCTGGTCTGGGCTCCAGCTTTCACCTGGGCCTTGGGCAAACCCCCCTCACTGCAAAAAGCCTCTTCCTGCTCCCCTGGCTCTGATGCTCATCCTCTGGCAGCTCTGCTGGCTCCTTCAAGTGAGTCACCCCCAGACCCCATCCTCTGGGAACTGTCCCTTGCGCTTCAAGGTTCCTCTAGCAGGTGCCACAGGTACCAGGCTGCACTTGACAACTTAGAGTCACCCTCCCTCCCTCCCTCCTTCCCCCCCGTGAGTGGGCAGGAACAGCCCTGCAGAGGGGCAGGGCCGCAGCTGCCCCTCGCTGCCTCACCTGTCCAGCAGTGCCCTCCTGCCCCTCCTGTCAGCTGGCTGGGAGGCTCCTGGGGGGGCAGCACAGCTCCCCTTGCCCTCCAGGACAGACTGCACCATGGCCACCGGCAGCACCGGCGGCTCCGAGCAGGCCCGGCAGCCCGGCAGGGGCTCGGCCGCCGCCTTCACACCGGGGCTCACCGGCTCCTCCTTGATCAGCATCAGGCACTTCTCCCTGCACCAGAGAGGGGGGTTAGCACTGCACACACTGCTCTGCACCTCACACACACTGCCCTGCACCTCACACACACTGCCCTGCACAGGCTCGTGCCACTGGGAAGGGCAGCAGCACAAGGGCCTGCTTCCACTTCCCCTCAGACTGCCCCCAGAAGGGCTTTCCACTCCCCCACACGAGCAGAAGAAACCAGCAGCCCTGTTTTCTTTTCAGCAGGCTCTAGAAACCCGCTCAGCTGAGACATCTTCAGTCAGTTCATGGGTCACAGATATAATGAGTTTGCCCCATTCAGTTCTTTGGCAAATATGGAAAGTGCACCTGCATGGGTTGGTCACTCCTGGGATGAGTGTTAGGTTAAAGGGTCTCCACCCTGGAGACAGGAATGGGATTAGTAAGACCTTCCCCTGCAGGAGTTAGGTTTGGACCAGCAAGCACTCTCGAGATCCCAGTGACACAGGTCAGGATCTTGTGGCCCTCCAGGATTTGGAAGAGAAGCTGTGAGGATCTGGCAGTCAGTCAGTTTTACTTGTTTGGGGGTTTGCCTTCTTCCAGTGGGAGAGGCACTCGGTGTTGTTTCCAGATGGACATGTAACAGTGAAGTTTTTATTATTAGGAACATTCTGGATGTACAGATCTACTCTATAGTGCTCACAGGAGATTGCACAGCTCCCTGTGCACCTGCAGAGCTGAAGCCAAAATGACAGAGGCACATAGATCAACAGGCACAGGGCAAGGAAAGCCATTCTGACAAACTGTCATCACACAACACTTACAGACCTGCCCTGCTGTGAGACAACACCATGTCACACACACAGGATGGTGTGTGACACTACAGAGCCTTCCCAACAGCCCTTTCCTCTCGTCTGGAGGATTCTCAGCTCCCACCAGGAGCTCATGTTGTTCAGCAAGTACCACACCTGAACTGATTAGGGCCATGGCTGGCTCAGATTCTCAAATCGTGCAGACACAGCACAGATCAGAAGCCACCAGATGGCACTCAGTAATTAGTAGAAATAAGCAACTTAACTTGAAGATTGTATTAGAGTTTTTCTGCTTTAGAAATGGCTTCCAGGGTTGGTTGGGTTTTGTTGGGTTTGGGTTTTTTTTTTTTAATCTGAGGCTCTTTACATGCTTCTAGCTGATTTTATGGCTAGGGTTTCAGTTATGTGGCAGATTTACAGGCAATTTCTAGAGTATAACTGCCTTGCCTCTACGCCTCAGAAACTGTTTCCATGATTCATCTGTCTACTTACTTTCCACTGACATAGCTGTAGCTATTCTGCTATTTGCCCCAAACACACTGCATGTCTGTGGCAGGAAGAGATAAGCATTAAAATACCTCTGCATTCAGTTCTTAAGTTACTGGGGCCTTTTCACAGAAAAGTTGTCAAAAATCGGAAGTTGTTGTGATGCAACCCTTCTGTTCTCATTAGCAGTGAGATGTACAATTTGATTGTTCCTTCTTTGCCAAAGCCAAAAGGAAACATTATTTCTCTCTCTCAACAAACCCGACAAGTGTTAGTATCTAATTATTTGACTGAGACAGCCTCTGTCTTGAGGACAAAATATAAAGAAACGTAGAACATTTCTCAAAGAGTGGAAGTTCTCAGCATGAAACTCAAGACTTTTTTCTGAAAGTTATGCTGTTATTACCCCTCTCTTAATTCTGAAAATCTGACCCACTTTGCAAACTGGAGAAAGTATTTTCATCCCACCATCTCTATAGAGATTTGTGTATCAGACAGAAACTCTGGTAGAATTACAGCCGAGAAAAACTCCTGTGAAGAGTTGCATAAGTGTGTCCAGACCTGACTCTCCCTATTTTTAATCACAAACAAACATGTTTACCTGTCATTTTCAGGAGGAGGCTGCATATTTATGATGTTGGATGGTGATGCTTCAGTGACATCAGATATGATGGGTCCTCCCGCAATTCCAGGGCTGTTTAAGCAAGAGGCAGGTTCTGTTGATGGCTAAAAGAAAGCAAAAATCATGCAGATTTATCCTTCTGAGCCCCAGAACAAGTTCCAAGGCCCTGACATTGTTAGAGTTTACTCACTGGGACCTTGAGTTCACCCTGCATGGAAACCAACCAAGCTCTGACCAACTATGGAACATCACAATTTCCTCTCACCTTTTCTCCAACCACACCGAGTACAGGTGTGAAAGGAGCACTGTGACTCAAGTGTCAGCTACCAAGAGGTTTCACCATTTCTGACATTCTGCCTAGACTGCTCAGCTTCCTCTGGAGGGAGAGATTCAGCACAGCCCAGCAGGACAGGGTGGGTATCTCGTGCCAGCCCACAGCCATTAACTGCAGGACAGGAGTGTCTGTTGTCTGCTGTGGTGGGTTATGGTGGGGATCCCTCAGCAGCTACAAAAATCTGGCTCTGGACAGAAAGATCATAGTACCCGCTTTCAGAACACACTTCTTCCTGTTTTCCCCTGAGGTGAACCAGGCTGGGGTTACACCAGGGAGAGTTTGGTGTACAGGGTCCACCTTTCCCCTCACAGCCCACGGCCTCCCACACAAACGTGGCAGCACCAGCGCATGCAGGCACCCCTGAAACTGGGGAGCTGAGGAAATTACAAATGTCACTCAGCTTTGCAAACCTCTCCTTCACTGCCAAACTACTCAGTCCTCAATTTCTGTTATTGCTCCAAGCATTTCCCCAGGCTGGCCCGAGCAATCCCGCAGAGGCCGCTGCAAACCTACCGACTGGATGAAATAGGGGTCATGGAGCGGCTCTGCAGACAAGTGCCGGCTGAACTTGGACACGGGGGGAGCTGACATCCCATTGTCGAGCATCAGAGGTCTGTGAGGAGAAACAGGTGTGTTTTCCAGCACATACTGACTGGTTCCTGATTGCTCATACAAAAAATGTCTCTCAGCCAAGGGCTCTTTTCCCCAAGTACTCTGTTTTTCCTCACCTGTAAGGGTCTTTCTTGTCCAGTTTTATGGACAAGAAAGGGAAACCAGTTTTGTAGGAGGTCACCATTAAAAAAGAACATTACCCTATAGAGAAGGGATGGTCCAGATTTTCTAGATCTTATTTGAAAGATGCCAGTAAAATAACCAATTCATACCTCTAGTTGCTAGTGGTTTCAAGCTCTAGGCTGGATCCTCAGCTCGTTTTACTGGAGGTAGTTATGCTGACACGATTAGTGCAATACTGGGAATCTGGCCTTCTTACAGCTCCCTCACCCTCAGAGCCCCTCTGGCAAAACTGCATCTCCATACACAGCACTTCATAAAAGGGACACTGTTGCCACTGCTGTGATGACCCTGTAAAACTGCCTAGAAAATTCCTTTTCTCCACAAGCACCAAAGGCACAGCTGCTTTCCTAGAAGGCATTAAGCTTCCTAATCCAAGCTCCTCTATTCACTTGCCCAGAAGAGCTTATCTAAAGACACCCCTTGGCTAAACTTTCCCCACCTTCCTCTCTGTGGTTACATGCCACCCAACCTGTGCTGGATACACACCACATTCAGTGACTGTGGGTCAAACTAAAGGTGTCCATGGGCTGGCTGGGCCCTGCTCCTACTGATGTCAAGTGGCAAAACTGGAACCTGTAGGACCAGCGGCGGGGTCCTGCCCTTTAGTCTCCCACTAGTTAGCACTCCCATCTCCCATCAGGCTCTGTGTTCCCCAGATAAAGGTCACGAGCTGACACGGTGCTTCTCTAAAGAGCAGTGAATGGGGATGTCAGCAGGTCTGACTCGGCAGTTCAGCCCATTCAGTGCCACCCCCATGGAGCCCGGTCCGGTGACCGCCCGCCCGGGCAGCTGAGCTGGTGCTTTTAGTGAGGGGCAGCATTGTGCACCCAGAGCGGCTGTGCTCACACAAGGGTACTTACAGCTTCCTCTTTATCCCAGCGCTGCTGGGGCTGGATTGCAGCTGGCCAAACAGAAACTGAATCAGCTGTCAGGAGAGATCAAAATCCGCTGTTAATCAGCAGGGTGATTCAGCACTCCCTGCTGCCATCCCTGTCTCACACATTCCTCCCTCCCAGCAGCACCCCAAAGCTGGGAGCAGCCATGAGATACAGGAGCCAAACTGCACGAGCCATTGGAGCCTGAAACAGAAACAACCTGTCCAAGGGCTCAGACAGCCTGCCTGGCTCTCAAGGGACACGGCCAGTTGTCTGCTTCGTGCAATGGCTGCTGGATCCACGTGCTCAGGGCTTTCTCTCACCACTTCTGTGCAAGCAGAACTTGCACCTGGGAATGTGCCTGTGAAGTGCACATGCAAACATTCCTAGGCCTGAGTCAGACTTGGACTCTGGTGAAGTCTTCAGAGGCGCTGTAAAGTCTGGCAAAGATTTTGCACATGAAAGAGGCAACCCATGAGGGGAGACCCCAACGGAGGTCTGAGCTCTTTCAGTTGAGTTTTTCACTCCTGTGAGAACAGGGCACTAAAAAGGATGCAGAATGGCTTTGCAGAGGAATCACTTAGCAACATATCCCCAGGTCAGCTTGAACGTAATGCTCTGCTTTGACCTCCAAACAAAGAGAGCATTATTATCATTATTATATATCACAGCTGGCTCTTACTCACTGCTCAATATAACAAAATAGAGTTGCATAAAAGCCTCTCCAACGAGCTGTGGGGCTGGTGCAGCCTCAGAGCTGGAGGAAGGCTTTGATAGCCTCGTGCATTTCTGTCCAGTCCTATGACTGTGACGCCACGTGAGGGTCAGAACATGGCTCTTGGGCACTGGGAAATGTGACGTGCTCAGTCATGGCAGCACCTCCCAGGAATCACTGGAGAGGCCTTTTCTATACTGGTCATTCTAGGTTTCTTTTTTAAGGGAGATGATGGCACCACAGTCTAAAAGGTTGTACAGTGATTCCTTGACTATACCTGTAACACCAGAAAATGTAATAGTCCCACTGAGGGGGTGGCTGGCCAACGTGCCACCTGCAGCTTCGTGCTGGCAGGAGGGGGCTTCTCTCTTGCACAAAGGGAAGAGGAAGCATTTGGGAAGCTCAAAGGCATTGGTACAACCAGAACACAGCTCATGCAGGGCAATTAGTGACAGTTGTGCTCTCTTGCTCAGGACTTCAACATAAAAAAGGTTTCTAATATCACAGCAAGGACTGACAGGGAAATGAAGATCTTTTGCTCGAGGGGGTTGTCTATGCTTTGTTAATGGCCACTTTCCATAGGACACATAAAAGTGTAACACAACTTGAAAAAGGGGAAAATAAATATACTGCAATATCAGAGTGTGGAGATTATGGGACAAGAGAAAAGAATCAGAGGAGGACCCAGAGCAGGCAGGACAAGTGAGTTTGGGGTTCCTGTGACCACTACCTTGTTGATCACTTTCTGCTGCTGCGAGTGATTCTGCCGGAGAGAAACAACTTCCCGCCAAAGGACTTCGTTTTGCCTGCAAGGGAAAAAGCCATTTTCTGTGAGCACAGAAACGTCCCAACAGTACATATTGCACAGAGAAAATCTGCTTTCTGTCTGTAAATGAGGCAGCACAGAGGGGAGCTTACAGGCTTCCTTGGACAGTCAGCCCCAGCAAGTGGGATGGGGAGATGCAGAATTTATTTCCTGTGCTGCCTCCAAATCTGGATGCTGGCCGAGTCCATGCTGCAGAGGGTTTTGCCAGTCAATTAATCTCCAGAGTATATGGATGTACCAAAACTGTCAGGCCAGTAAAACCCATCGTACAGGTGAGACTGAGAAATCCTTCTGCTTTTTAGTCTTTCCAGTGTGGATGTTAGACCTGGCAAGATAAGGTGCAGGGCTAGAAAGGGCAGAGCAGAGCAGCTTGTACAGCCAGAAACTCTGCAGTGATCTCTCTGTGCTGGTTCTGACAGGATTTTCAGCAAAGCAGAGTTCCTTAGGCTGACAGCTCGTACTGGAGTTATGTCCTAATGGCCCTTCACCAGTGTAAATTCCTGAACATGGTTCCAGCCTGGGATTTCTCCTCTGTCAAAGTTTATAAAAATTGTATTCTTCTTGTCATTTGAATGCAATTTTGCCTTTTGCCAGATGGAGGGATGGAGCAAGCAAATCAGAAGGGAGAATAAATTAAAATCAAGGCCAAATAAATGATAGTGGAATTCCTCAAAAATTAAAACAAATTCAAGTCTAGAAACCTATTGCCACTGTATGTGGATTTCACAGTGCCATCTCATGCATATGCTAAGCATGGGAGTCATTAAAAAATGATGTAGGATAAAAATATTTATCCATTGCACATAAGATGCTGGGTTGGAATGAAGTTTCCTGGGATGGCACTGTCTTCTGGTGCAGTATGAATATCAGCCCTCATTATAAGGGAAAGGTCTGGGGTCTTTTTGATTATTCAAGTGCTTTTTAAACAAAGACCTCTGTAAAGATTAAAATTCTGGAGGCAAATAAGAACCTCTTCAAGCACACGATTTATAAAACCTTATCCATTTACTAAGCTTCCAGTGACCATGTCTGAGTCAGAAAATCCCAGAGTCTCAGACAGCAGGAGGTCTGGCAGCCACATGCAGGAAGCACTGCATCTGCTTGGTTTGCTCTTAAACAACAGTTCTGGCCGTGTCAGAATCTTCAGAGATGAGTCCACGGACCAAACACTACAGCAGCTCTTGTATTATGTATTATAAGATACTGTATTTTTTAGGTCAGTAAAGCAGATAAATTTTGGAGGTGGAGGATGGTAGAGAGTTATATTTTTATTTTTTAATAGCTGGAATGGACTCCTCCACGTCTCTGCCAAGGTGTGTGAGGCTCCTCCTCCCAACCATTCCCCACAGTGCACAACTCCAGAGAGGAAAACGCCCGTAAGCCTGAGTAGGATCCAACTCACTGCTTCATGTCCTGCACTTGACACTCCATGTTCTCCTGCTGACTCCTCAGGATCTGCACCTCATACAGCAACCTGCTCAGGTCCTCCTGGCGCATCTTGGTCTCCTCACTTTTCACTACTGACACCTGAGGAGAAGAGAGCAAAGCTGGATTGTACTCCTGCAAGAAGGGCCATGGACAGAGGGAGTCCTGTGGGGGCTCAGGGGCAGGACTGTCACCAGCTGGGCTGCAATGGGCTGAAACAACGTGCACAAGAGTCTGAACTGCCCTTCCAGCACCACTGCAAGGGCCAAAGGGATAAAACAGAGCCAAGTGCAGGACAAACCTCATTGTACAGAGCATCTGCTGGCAGAAAAACATTCCCTGCCAGAGCAGGGACCTATTTCAAATCAGCCTGGGGGAACATAAAAGTATTTTGAGGACCAGGGAGGAACTGGACTAGATTGTTTGATTTAATCTTTCCACTCTACAGAGATACCCAATCCAGCCTCGTGTTTTCCAGGGGTGAGTGAGGTAATGCTTCAAACTGACATGTTACACTAAAAGGCTTTTGCTGAAGTCTCTTTCCTGAAGTCCCTGTGCTAATTCAGTAAGAGAACAGCCCTTTGAGGGCATTTATAACAGATTAAAAGACAGAAAACAGAGAGCAGGAGTAGGTTCTCTCTTCTGTAAGAAAAGGGGATGGCTGCTGGGGTCCCTGCAGGAGTTATGCCGTATTTGTCTAGGAAAGTGGGTAACAATTCCAAGGCAGAGGGGTGGGAAGCAAGCCTGGCCCTGCAGCACTGTGTGGAGGTCCTGTGATACTGAGCAACAGAGCAAAAAAGCACAGACCAAACTCTGATGATGAAAGCCAAGCCCTGCACACCAAGAACCCCTGCCCCAGCTGCACGTGTACATGGAGAGGGCAGGAACCACCACAGGGTGATGCTGAGTTACACTGAGCAGGGGCACATCCCCCCTGCCCACCCAGCACCCCTCACCTTCCTCTTGATGTGCTCCAGGAGGTGCTCGTGGCCCTGCAGGAAGCAGAGGTGCTGGAACTCAGTGTCATCCCGCTCGGGCTTGACCAGCCCCCCCTGCTCGATGTTCACCACCTTCCTGAAGCCATCTGCACGAGAGGACAGGGCTGAGGGGCCACCAGATCCTGCACTCCCCCTGCCCCCCACACCCAGCCATCTGCACGAGAGGACAGGGCTGAGGGGCCACCAGACCCTGCACCCCCCCTGCCCCCCACACCCATCGCTGCTGAGGATGTTTCTGTTCACCCTTCACACTTCTGGAGCTGCTGGTGCTCAGGGCACAGTTGTGCCCCCTCACCACAGCTGGGCATCTTTTTGGGCCGTATCCACAGAACCCCAGGGTGAGGGAGAGCCCCGTGCATGGCGCTGCTGACAGCCACCCCTGCTGACAGCCACCCCTGCTGACAGCCCATGCCATGAAAGCCTTGCCACCATGAGCACCTTGGTCTTTCCAGGAGCCAAAATGGCAGCTTTTAGGGAATTTCCAGTTCAATTTGCAAGCCAAAGGGATTCAGGGGAAGCTTTTTCAAAGGCACAGACCATCACCAGCTGCCACTTTTGGAAGACAGAGTCACACACACATTTGGAAATCTGCTTTGAGTATTGCTCTGAAATCCTGGAAAGGTCTCTAAACTGTATTTAAGGACTGGCCTAAAATTTACAATAATGCTACTGCACAGTGAAATAGCTAAGTTAAAACTTGACTGAGGAACTCTGTAAATTACCCATTGAAAAAAAGAACTACCAGAGAACAGCTATATGTAATACAGTCATGGTGTAGAAGTGGCTGAAAACTACACCTAAAACTCCTTTAAGGGGTGAAAATGTGTGATCAGCTAGGCCAGGTTTGCAGGCAGGAGTACTGTCCATTATTGGTTCAGGGGTACAGCTGGTGAAATGGAAAAGCTCTGGGCACACAACCCTCAAATGCAGCAGTTCCTGGGGGAGGTGTCCCAGTATCAGGCTGCTGGAAAAGCTCCGTATACGGTAAAATGAAAAATAAATAATAACAGGTCATCAAACTGATGCAAGAGAAGCAGAACACCTGATGGCTGAAAGTTCTTAGCTCAGATCTTAAAATGTAATCTAACAGGAATTTCATGCTGAAATTCAAGGTAAATGAGACCTCAGCTTTGTCTCCACAGTTCTCTCCCGTGTCCCCTGTGCCACCCACCCCTCCTGCCTCTCCCCGTGCATGCAGGGCCCACGGGGCACTCACACATGTTCAGCTGCCGGACAAAGCTGGCCATGTTGTTGTGCTTGAAGTACTTGGGCAGCACCTCCTTGGCAAAGCGGCCCTGGTCGAACACATGGAAGCTGGTGCCATTCTGCAAAGGAGACAGGGACAAAAAGGAGTCAGAGGAGCATCCCTGAGCTCCAGAGGGGCCAGGAGGAGTCTCACAGCAGGCAAGTCATGCTCTCTGAGTTGTCACCTTGTAGCTAAGAAGAGTGACAACAGCCCTTGGTGACAGCTGTGCTCCTGTCAGTCCTGGTACAGTACTGCTCAGTGCTCCACAGCTGCAGTTGGATCTGTTTCTATAAGCTTTGCCAGTGCTAAGCTGTGAGATGTGGATGTGAGAAAGAAACCACTGACTTGTGTCCAAATAGCTGCAAGTCTGTGATCATCCTCCCTTGTGTGGACCCCACAGAAAGACTCTGGAGTCTCAAGAAGGCCCTGGAAAGTAGGAATTGCCGTTATAACTCCTCCATCTGCTTGTTCAGCTCTACTCCAACCCATCTGCTGCAGAGCAGGGCAGTGCCAGGGGGAGCGCTGCTTGGAGACATGGCACAAGGAACACAGCAAGGCAACAAACAAATCGTCTCTGGAGACACCACACCAATCCAGAAGCTCTAAGCACCTTTTCTTGATTATTTTTGAAAGTACACAGCCACAAGGGCAACCCACAGAGTGTTGACAGTCATGCTCTGCCGTCCAAACAAGCAACACACATGTTAAGCAGATAAATATCCATTTCTGGGGCTGCACTGCGAAGATCTGTGACTGCAAAGCAAGGCAAAGTGCCTGGGATTGCTGCCAGAGACACTGCAGGCCACGGGCCTTCCCTGCCTGGCCTTCTACCTGCTGACAGCTCTGTCAGTTCTAAGACATCAGCAGATAGGACATCACCAGACCTACCAGCCCAGCTGAGTTTTGAGGGACAGCTGCCTGAGGACACCAAGGTCTGCAGGATGCTGGCAGGGAGGAGTCTGAGAGCAGCACAGCAGAGTCATCCTCCTGCTGAGTGCTGAGCTATTACCTGCAGTCAGTGGTGTGTCAGCTCAGGGGATACTTCACAGAGGGCTGGTCTGGGACAGAGGACAGTGCTGAGTAAGAGCCCTCAGCTCTGTGTGCAGTAAGAGGATAGCTGTGGTGTGTGGGTCCCACCACAGGGTCTGTAGCTGCAGAGGTGCACTCAGGGCAGCCTGGAAATGTCTAAACAGGGAATCAAGGCCACGAGAAAGCTCAGTGACTACAGAGGGGCTGGGGAGTGCCTGCAGCCTGCCCACGGCCCCCAGGAAACAGCCAGCTGGCAAACCCTGCTGCCCGGCTGGTTCCCACTCCATTTCCATCCCCAGTGGGTGCCAACACCCTCTGTGCTCGGCTCACCTGGCAGCAATGACAGTGACCACCCACAGACACGTGCCTGGGGGTCGCAATGACAGTGACCACCCACAGACACGTGCCTGGGGGTCGCAATGACAGTGACCACCCACAGACACGTGCCTGGGGGTAGCAATGACAGTGACCACCCACAGACACGTGCCTGGGGGTCAGCTGCACCACTGCTGCGAACATCCAACATGACCTGTGCCTCAGCAGTGCCAGTTGCCCATTTTCAGTGTCCTTCTATCACTCCTTACCCCCTGCAGCAGGACCAAAGGTGGGTTAAGGATGCAGCTGTGCATCCCAGATGCACCCACTGACGGAAAATGAGGAGCACAAGGATTTTGAGTGCCTCAGCATCCCACTGTGGCCTCTCCTGAGAGGTCACTCCTGTGAACTCAGGGCTGCAGTGTTCTCACAAGCTGGCACATCCAAAAGGGTTCCTACAGCACAGGAGGCCTGTGAGTTACTGTGTGCTCACAATGAGCTGGGCATGTGCCAGCTTGTTCCCACACTGTAGCTGGGCCTTGACTGTCTTACACAAGCTGGGAGAAACTTTGAAAGTCTTCTGTGCCCAAAGCAAAACTGAGTCTGCAGCATGACAATGGTGGCAGATGCTTATCTTAACTGCTTTTGACAGACACCCTGGGCTCTAACCAGACAAGTGCTACTCCAGGAATTTGCCAGGAGTTCCTCCTAACTGCATCTTCCATTTAAGAAGTTACTTGAATTACTTCTTGTCCAATCTGCCACAGACACAGAGAGCAGACTTTTCCTTTCCACCTAACAGCCTTCAGTGTAAATACAAACCATTACTACATTTCCTCTGTCTCTTCTTCATGCTAAGGAACAGTTCATAGGTCCTTATTTTCTGGAAGTTCTGATTACATCCAGCAGTCTGAGGCATGCACACAATCTCTCAGCTCCAACAGCACTGACATATAGAAGATGAAGAATATGGGAAACATGGTAACCTGAAACAATGGAAAACTTAAACATCTAAAAACCTTACCAAAACCTCCAAGAAGGTGTTTGTAGCCTATGTTAGATTGCAGGAAAGCAGGGCATGGTGGTGGGCAGTCAGAAACAATGCTCTAAGTGTAACAGAGAGGGGACTATTTATACAGGTTAGAAAATCATTGCTAGTTTGAAAATCCTTATTTAAAACACACAATACCAAAACTTGGTGGTTCTCAGAGGTATGACCATGTAATACCAGCATCAAAGCATAGACAGTAATGCAGCTCACATCCTATCTCAAGTTTTGAATGAAAAGTATACTGGACAGAAAGGCTGCTTTAGACCTTTTTTCAGCCCTTCCCTTTACATCTGATTTTTGTTACAGATTCTTCATATGGGAGAACAAGTTTATGCACACAGCTTATCTGATAACTCCATACTGAAAACAAATCATGCTATTGCAGCAGTCTCAGCCAGGTCAAAAGCACAGTGGGGTGGTATCAAAGTGCTGTCTGAAGGGAACAAATAAATCATTTTAATGCTGTGGTTGCACTTAGTATTGCAATGCCTCAGTGACATTTAAGAAGCCAAAGCAAAGCAATGTATCCCTGTGAAGCTGTACAGACAATATAAACACACGTCACCATGATCATCACACAGACTCATTGGAAAATCAAGTACAGCACTTACAAAATGAACATTTAGGGTGCCAGTCTGAGATCTGTTTAAGCTCTAGGTTTGACTCTGAGATCTGAATACTATTTATCTGCTGCCTTGTCCCAAGACGCTAGTGAAAGGCTGCTAAGAAACACATGTGAAATAATACAAACAGCACTGAAATTTCTTAAGGTCTTTGCACCTTCTCTAGAAAATTTTAGGGAGTAGCAGGTTCAAACAAGGTGAAAAACCTCTCTGTTGAAGAATCTGGAATTTTTAGAATGAGAATACCAGACACCTTTTAAACTGTTTCAAGTGAAGTGTGTAAACATTATTATTAAAACACTCCCAAACCCGTTGTCCCTTTGAAACAGAAAAGCCACAACATTGCAGGCAAATAATAGCAAGTCTACCCAAAAGGGCCCGTGGTGAACTGCCAGTCCCTGCACTCCGGGCAGCACCTGCAGAGCAAGATGCAGCTGCTGTGCCAGGCACTGCCTGGGCTCTCCCTGGTGCTGTAGCATCAGTGACACCCAACATTCACCATACTCACAGAACTCCAGCAGATGAGATGGTTTGTTTCAGGATCTTCCACCAGCGTCCAGAGTTTGGTTAGGAAGGCTGGGACATTGCTGGAGTATCCATCCATCACCAGGGAGCTGGGTGAGTCCTGCATAGTTCCCCAGGGGCCCAGCTACACTAACCCCATGGCTCTGCCTCGCCGCACGCGCCTGCGTCCCGCAGACACAGCCACCCAATTTTATCCCAGGCCAGTGGAAAGTAGGCGTCCAGGGAGTCACATCAGCAGGGCTGCTCGCACTCTTCAAAACTCAGCACAATGCGGTGGCATCACCAGCCCGGAGAACAATGCACAGAATGAAAATGCACCGCAGCCGATCTCGCAGCGCTGTGAATAAACACGCAGCGTCATGCGAAGGGAACACGTGCTGGCCACCTTCTGCTGGCAGGGGAGCGAGTCACCGCAGGGAACCCACCTGCCCAGGGCCTGGGGGATGCCCAGGCACAGCAGTGCCAGGCTTGTGAAGGCGTCTGAATTGTTATTTTGGAATTTTCTTGCCCTGAGCTTTGGCTGGCGTGGATGAACAAGGGCTGGCCAGGCCTCAGGGCTGTCAAATTTGTAAGCTGGTTTGGCTACAGATCCCATGTTATTTGCCCACAGAAATTATTTGTCTCTTGGGTGAGAAGAGAGGGTGCTAAAAACAGCTACATATAGAATCTAACATGCTTTCATTATTCATATAAATGCTTCAGGTAGCTCTAAATACATGCTTGCAGTGCAGCTTAATTTCTACTCAGAAACTGCTCTTCAAGTAATAACATAATAAAATGTAAAATCAAAATTAAATTTTCCTGAGTTCCTTAGCAAAAACTTGCAAAGGCTAAGCTTGACATTCCTGCTAAAAAATGAAACAGAGTTCTTCTCACCTGATGCCTGCAAAGTCCCTCAAAGCCAAATACCGAAGGAGTCAGGAGGTGAGAAGAATCAGTCACCAGAAAGACCCACTAGAAAAGTAAGATGCAGGATACCAATTCAGTAACTTTGCCATTTTTAAAAGGCAACTTGGAATGATGTATCCAAGAATGTAATACTTCCCCCAGAGCCCGAATCATCAGCAGCAACTGAAACAACTCCGGGTACAACCCAAATTTGTCTGTTATGTAAGCAGGTGGTAGCCATGCAAGATAACATCATCACACAGAGAAGTCACAGTGTCAATAGTGGCACAGCAGAGTGGTGTGTGTGGTTTGGTGTGCACTGGAAACAGTGATCTGGTTCTTCCTGCAGAGATGCTCAGACATGGAAGCCCATTCCTCTCACCTGACCTCTGTGAGGTGCCCAACAGGGCGGGGAGAAAGAGCTGCAGGGTCTGCACAGCTGGGGACTGTGCACCCACCTCCAGCAGAAACAGAGCAGAATGTCTGCACAAGGAGCTCTCCTGGGCTGCAGTCCCACAGCTCTGGAACTGGACCAGGCAAAAAAAAGAGATGCAGACACACATTGGGATCTATTTAACACATCAAACCAATGCAACTGGACTACAGAGGAGGTAAAAAAAAAAAATTTCAGACTTAAATTTCACCAAATTTTGAATTTGAACGCAAAAAATCAGGAAAATCTGTTGGCCGGTTGTTTTACACAGTGTTCTTTGATCAATCCTAAGAAGCTGTGATACTTATCAAGAGTTAAAGATGTCAGATCAAAGCTTTGGGGGAAAAAAGGCCTTTTTTCCTACAATGAGGTTTTGCTACCCTGAGTAATAAAAATGCAAGGGAATTTTCTAGTACTGCTGCACTGGTATTCAAAAAGCTGAGACAGATTTCTCAAACTGTGGGGGAAAAAACCTCTTTGCAAGCAGAAGCTCTGAACAGAAAACAGCCCCACATATCCATTTTTAACTGATAGTGCAACACAAGGCCTGGAGTAGAAATCAGCAGCTTAATGACAGTGATCCTTGCCTGTGATGAGATGTTACAGTTTGGGAAAAAAAAAATTTTATAACTGTGACTCCAGTTTGTAGAAACTGCATTTACACACATCTGATATAAAAAGGGAAAAGCATGTTTTGATCAACCTTTCCTGTGAACTACAATGCAGAAGAACAAGAACCTGGAAGGAAGGCTGAGGTTCAGAGCATCAGACCTTTCTTATTCATCTTCCAAAATGTGTTGTATCCACCTTCGAGATTTCTGCAAAACAAAACCACCACCATGGCACATTTTTTCAGCCTTCTCATGGCCAAACAAGGGATTTTCAGAAGCAAACCTTCCCCTTCCTAGACCAGCACTGGAGCGTGGGCCAAGTCTCACAATGTCTGAAATTCATGGCATTCCCTCTGGCTTGGGAAGCCCCAGGTCTCAGTCACAGCATTATCTCAGCATCACAGGTCTCACTGAAATGAAAACCTGTGCATCCAGATATCCTCCAAGCAGGGTAAGGGTTGACAACCGTGAAGCGAGTATGAAATAGTGACACAAAAAGCATAACACAGAGAGGAACACAACTGCACATTTGTGTAAATATGGAGCCTTGAAGCATGACTGGTTATTCTGAGTGTGAGCAGCACCAGAGCTCTGCCATCTTATCAGCCATCACATCAGCCCCTTCCACCCAGCAGGGCTCGAGCAGCCAAGTGACACCGTCCTGCTTCCTTCCTGGGAACTCAGCATTTTCTCTGACAATCACCTTGGCTGCTTGGACCCCGCTTTTCTACTTTTAGCTGCTTTTAATACTGACTCTAATACGCATTTGCCAAGGGGACTGCTGTCACCCCTCTGCTCACAGGACACCTGTGCAAGGTAAATGCAGCCTGGGCAGAAAGGTGTGACCTGAGGCCGAGCGATGGAGACTCAAATCTTGCTTTGCTTGGCACTGGACCCCTCATGGACTCGGGAAAAGCTGGTTTATTCCCTGTACCTGTCCGACTCTCATCAGCAGCACCACTGGGGAAAGCGGAGCGGTGCCAGCCGGGCCCCCAGCTTCGCCTGAGCCCGCACCGGCTCCGCGGGGGCTGCACCGACCCCAGTGACCCGGGACACACCCGCGGGCCCGGCCGGTGGGCGGCTCTGAGGCCCCGGAGCGGAGTGTTTGTGACCACTGTGACACCCTCACCCACACGAGTGACCGAGCGCCGGGGCTGGGGCTGGGGCCGGGGCTGGGGTCGGGGCTGGCAGCCTGCAGCAGGGTGAGGGCCCGGCGCCGTGCCGCGGGCCGTGCCCGGGCCGGGCCCACTCCCCTCCCTCAGCCCCGGCCGGGCCCGGGCCGTGCCCCGACTCCCCTCCCTCAGCCCCGGCCGGGCCCGGGCCGTGCCCCGACTCCCCTCCCTCGGCCCCGGCCGGGCCCGGCGGGCGGCGCCGCGCGGGGGCGGAAGCGCCGGGGCCAGGGCCGGGTCCGAGGCCGAGCGGAGGGAGGAGGTAACGCCGCCGGGCCCGGGGCTGCAGCGGGGCCGGGAACGGGCAGGGACGGGGGCAGGCGGGTCAGTGCCCCCGGGACAGGCAGAGCCGGGCCGGGCCGGGCTGGAGGGGCAGCGCTCCGGTCCCCGCGGGGCCCGCCCGGCGCGGGGCTGAGGCACAGCCAGGGGCACCCGGGGAGTTCGGGCGGCACCGCCGGGGGCAGGGGCTGCTCCAGCGCCTTCCTCAGGGCCAGCCCGCTTGGGGAGGGAGAGGCAGCGGCCTGACGCCTGCCAGGAGGCGGCCAGAAGGGCAGCAGCGATGGGCACAAACGGGCCTTACTGCCGGGGCTGGTGTTCTGACGGCACAAGGGTGCAGAGTGGGGACTGGGGGGCAGCGCCCACTGGGCTGCACAGTTCACCTGCTGGGATAACACTGCAGGGGCGCGACAGCAAAGGGCATGAGCAAAGCAGAGGAGTAGCCCTTGGGACCGTTCGAGGCACAGTCCTGTGGTGGGCAGGGTCATCTTCAACTTGGCCAGGTCGCTCAGAGCCCCATCACACCTGACCTTTAATGTTTTCAGGGATCAGGCACCCACTACCCCGCTGTGCAACCTTTGCCAGTGTTTCACCACCCTCATTGTAAAAAATTTCTTCCTTATATCTAGTCTAAATCTACCTTCTTTTAATTTAAAACCATTACCCCTTGTCCTGGCTGTGTAGAGTGTTCTGCTACAAGAGCTCCGGGCTCTGTAACATATCCTTTACTGAACACAACCAGGGCACTGGGACCTCAGGCAAAACGCCTCTGTCCTGCAGCAGGGCTTCAGTCCATGGGAAGGGGCCAGAACCAGGAGTCCTGCAGCACCTCAACTACGCATCGTCAGGCTTTGTCAGCTTGGCTGGTCAGTCAGAGGCACGAGGACTGAAACTCTTTGCTTTGTCTTATATTTGGACTATGAAATAAATGGACTCCAGTGGAAAATGAAAGCAAAGCTTTGTGAGCTGCTGGTTTTGGGACGCCGTGTCCCTCCAGTGCTGTGCTTTGCAGAGTAACAGTAAACCCCTCAAAGGTTACACTTGCTTTAACTACATCAGCACTCCTCTAAGAAATAAGGCTAAATCCCCATGATTCCGTCATGCTTGTGGCTTAGTGTTTGCTGTAAGCACTCTCCTGGCACCAGGCCATTCTCCCTCTGGTCTCTCAGCTGCCTGCGTGGTTTTGTAGGGTGCTGAAGATGGCAGGCAGCTCCACTCCTTGGATTGGCACTGCTTACCTCTTCCTCCAGTCGACGAGCAAGACCATCGTTCTGCCATCTCTCTACGAGAGCTCCCAGAAGAAGCCCAGTGTGTTCAGGGCACTGAAGCTGGCATTAGCAGGTATCTGTTCTCTCTCATATCTTGGTGTGCTGCCTTGTCTCTTCACACAGTTCCACGCCTTTCTTTATTCTCACACCCATGGGGAGGGAACTTGTCCTCACTGTTCAGGAAAGACAGCAAAGTGGAGTAAGTTCAGCAGAGGTTCACCAAGAGGGTTGGGGGCTGGAGCACTTGTCCTGTGAGGAGAGGCTGAGGGAGTTGGACCTGTTGAGCCTGGGGAAGAGAAGGCTTCAGGGGCCCTACCAAACAGCCTGCTGATACCTGTGGGGAGGGGGAGATGGAGCCATGCTCGTCATAGTGGTGCCTGGGAAATGAGGGGGAAATGAAGTGAAATGAAAAGGAAGCCTGGCAATTTCTGCTGTCCACACTGCTCCTGCTCCTCCTAGGGTAATGTTGGAGGATACATCCCTGGCTTCTCCTTGCCAAGATTTTACTGTGAATTGTAATGTAAGTAATGTAATGTAATTAATCTTCTGTGCAAAAGACCATAACAAGTCAAGGCCCAGTCCCAAGCAGCTTAATTCCCGTGGCTGGATCTGTCATTCACTGGCCAAAGTCACCTCTAGGCACAGACTGGAGAGGAAACACTGGGTCTCTTTCGAGGACCTTCATCACTGCATAAAGCTCCAGTCACAAGGACTGAAGACTGACTGAGCTCTGAGCTGAACTGAGCTTTCACCTATAAAACTTTCCTGTGCTACCAATTTAGCATAACCATCTCAGCCCTGGAAATGGAACCTCAGATTTAAAACTTCCCCTAATAAGCAGTGTTGATATAATTACCTGGGATGCAGTTCCATCCATCTTCAGTTGGACACCACACTTCATGGAGATCCATGGTGGAAGGGCAGCGAAAACTTAATCCTTCCCTCTTGGTTTCACACGCAGGCTCCTCATCCCAGAGAGCTTTGTCCCAAAGAGAATTCACAAGTTGCTGCATTGCAGGCTCGGTGGTGGATGGGCGTGGGTCTGGGTGGGCTGTCTCAGGCCTGGACAGTGACTCTGCTCACTTCTCCCTGCCAGACTCCACGGGCAGCATGAACGGCGTGGACGTGCTCAAGGTGCACTGCAGCCACCCGCAGCTGATCGTGCAGCTCAAGTTCTGCAGGCAGGAGCACTGCCGCCGCTTCCTGCGCAGCTACCGCGACGGGCTGCTCCACAGGGCCCTGCAGAGCCACCTCCAGCTCTCTCTGGCCACCACCACAGTGCCTCTGCAAATGGAGCTGAAGGCTGGCAGCGAGCACCTGGACAACATGCTGAAGGATGAGGATCGTTGCCTGGAGTGCATCTACAGAGAAAAGGTGAATGGGAGGGGGAGGGAGGCCAGGCAGCAACGAGGAGCGGTGGCACAGGGCTTGTGAAGGTGGCTGCAAATATTGTCCTGATGCAGCATGTTGGGTTGACAAACTTCTTCCTTTAGTTCTCAGCTGTAATGTGGAGAAAGAGCTCTGCCCTTCCCCAGAAAAGAGCTGTGCACTTTTGCACTTCTAGCGTTACCTAAAACATCCTGCAGAGCTCCTGCTAAATCAAGCCATTGGATCAGGTCACCCTGTTCTGTGGGTCTGACCCTCATATGGAGTTTGGAGGAGCCTTATAGTGCATCCTAATTCTTGCAGAAGGCTGCTGAAAAATAGCATGGGGTAGCAGCAGTTGTGTGCAACTTGTAAGCACTGCACAGGAGGAACACAGGAGGGGGAGATGGTCTGTGTCATATCACGTTACTGATTCAAATTCACACATTTACAGCCAGAGCTCCATTAGACCATCTCATTTAGCTGGTTTACAGCTCATGCTATAGCTATCTCATTGCTCCTCTCTTGACACTATCATCTCAAGCTGCACCTTCTAGCTAAGTACCCAGAGCTTTGCAAGAAGGTGGCCCTGGCAGAGCCACTGATGGTGTTTGCATTGCAGCCCGACCGCCTGCGGGATGAGGAGATCACGGAGCTGGAGGAACGCCTCAAGAGCCTGACTGTTCACCAGAGCCTCAACAACAATGTGGCTGTCAAAGACTGTGCACCTCTGAGGTCCCCATCTCTGCCTTATCCTCCTCAGGGCAGCTCCCTTTCCCCACAGGACACCTTCATCTTCCAGGGACAGCAGTTTGGTGAGTAGTTAGAACTAACCCAGACAACCCTTGGTGTTCCTTGCCTCACAGCCTGAGAGGGAGGATTAGCATGACCACACACGGGGGGTCTACCTCAGATAAATCAAGGATTTCCCAGCATCCCATAAGGAAGGAGTTATAATAGTCCCAAGATATTGTCATAGTGCTTCAGATCAGGCCTCAACCTGTTTTCTTTTCTGGGGTGTCCCAGGACCAGGTGCTTCAGAGTCTGTGTCCCTTCCAGGCTCCTCACATTTTAAAATTGATACCGAAAGGAAGAATATATTTATTTCTTCCTCCATGTCCCTGGTTGAGGTGAGTTAATAGCATAGGTTGGATTAGTCTGTGGAGATTACTATGGACACCCTCAGCCCTGCTTTTAGACGGGACTGATTTGCCCAGGCTCCCTGCAGTACCCCAGCTGCCTTTGGGGTCTGTCCCCGCAGGGAGCTTTCACACAGCCTGACACAGCAATGCTGGCTTGAGATCAGCTGCATCACTTCTGAGCTGTGTGCAGTCTCCAGGGCTAAACAGCTGAGGAGAGAGCTCTGTCTAGGTTTCAGTATTTGGAGGATACTTAAGTAGGGAACAGGGGACTTGGACTTACCAACTTGCTTTGGAAACAAGTGAAGGGGATGTCCATCAGAAAAAAAAAAGATCCTTGGCAAACCACAGCACAGTCCTGGGGGAGAAACAAGAAAAGGAAAAAAGGCATGGCCAAGCCTGCAGGGTAGGGGCAAGCCCAGATGCTCTGATGATGTTGTGAGAGGATTTCCATAAGGGAACAGCACGAGCAAGGCAAGGAGCTCAGATGTGCCAGGGCACATGGCTGTGAGCAGGTAATTGTGTTACCACGTGCTACAGGCTTGCCCCCTGAGGCACCAGCACTGCCCTGGGGGCTGGCAGGCTGTGGAGAGCTGAAATGTTGTGCACAGTGAGCAGGGAGGCAGCAAGCAGGGAGGCTTAACTCCTGCTGGTTTCCCCTTTCCAGTGGTGGGGGAACTGCTCACAGCACGACAGTCTCTTTAGCTTCACTGCCCCACTCTCAGACTGCTGCCCTGGTGCTGAAACAGCAGAGGACAAGCAGAGCAGCTTCACAGCAGTTTAACAACGTGCTGTGGACACTGAACAGGCTCCCTGCACCACAGAACATTGACCAAGCCTAGGGCTGGCCCAAACTGCATCCTGTCAGCCAGGAAAGCTCTGTGTTTACCTGCCCTCTGTCCCTTTCAGACAACAGAACAATCACACTGGACGACCACCAGAAATTTGCCAAGCTCGTGTCCAAGAAGTGGAAGCAAGTGGGTCGCTCTCTGCAGAAGAGCTGCCGGGCCCTGCGTGACCCTGTCATTGACAACCTGGCCCTCGAATACGACCGAGAGGGACTGTATGAACAGGCCTACCAGCTGCTTCTCAAGTTCATCCAGTCAGAGGGCAAGAAGGCCACAATAGCACGGCTGATCGCAGCCCTGGAAGAAAACAGTCTGATCAGCGTGGCTGAGGAGCTCTTGGGCCTCCATTCCAACGAGGACTGCTCCTAGAGCCCGAAGGGCAGTGCCATTGCTAAGGGCTTTCCTGCTTTAGCTACTGTATGAAACTGCTGCCAGTTCCTGGGAATGTGAAGCCCTGAAAATCAGCACAGCTTTCCATCTAGGTTGGAATGTCCAAGGGAGAGGCCCAGGACCTCTTACGTTCCCTATTTCATTGTGTTTCCAGAAGGCAGCACTACCCTCCTGTGAACTGGTGAGAGAGGCTTTCAGCCTGACTTCCTTCAGCACTGGGGGAAGGGAAGGTAGCTTCCTTCAGGACTGTCACAGGGAAGCAGCCAGACAGAGAGCCCTAGGGGAGAGTGGGGGAGAGGAGAAAAGCAAGCAAGGCATCTCAGAGAATTTTTCTGGGAAGCAGACAATGCCACTGCTTCTCAGGCTGTTTCTCAGGGCCATCACCTGGGGAGCTGCAATATCTTTTTTATACTGAAGACATTTATGCCCTCAGGCATAAGACAGGGGAAATTAAGGATAAGTCAATTTTATATTATTTTCCTTCTTTGTTTGAAAAATATCTGTGGCAAGTACACCTGTCCTGCCCTGCTCTATTATAGCTCCTTCCCGCCACTCACCACCTGAAGGTCTCCCTTCTAGCTGGAACAGCCATAATCTTCCACAGGACACAAGATTGCTGCTGCAGAACAAATTTCAGGCACCGAAGAAGCAACGTGGACAAACTCAAATTCAGACAATGATTCTCAGCTTTTTCTGCTCTGTGGTGGATGGACAGTGATATATTGACTACATCGTGCTCAGCTCTCGCCTGGCAGCCTGAGGGTCCTGCAGCTGTGGAAAGCAGCCTCTGAGCCAGCCAGTGACCCTCGTGGACTGGAGCTGCTGCTCTGAGGAGTGGCCATCCTGACCCTCGTGGACTGGAGCTGCTGCTCTGAGGAGTGGCCATCCCGACCCAGAGCTGAGACACCGTTCCTGCCCAGGGGCTGCTCCTCCTTCACTCCCTGCTCACCTTGGGCCTGCTGAGCTCTCTGGAGAGGGCACTCACACCCCACATCCCACGGGTGACAGTATCTGCACAGAGCCTTTCCCTGGTGCTGCTGTCACTGGGTGACAGCTGAGCATCAGCTGCTGTCCCTGGATTTACCTGCACTGATTTTTAGGGTAAAAATGGCTGAAGAGACACAAATCTCCCAAAGCCCAGGGCCGACTCCTGCTTTCAGGTGCAGTGGCAGAAGCTGAGTGCCTGCTGGTGTGGCTGAGCACACTGCAGCAGAGCAGTCTGCACCTTTGCCATGACAAAGCACAGAGCGACAAGCGTCTAGTGTGACACAAGTCCTGTGGGGCACAACAGCAGTTGATTACCTCTGACATATTCCCAAGGCTTTCCTGATAGAATTAACTGAAAAGGATTAGTAAAAACCTCTCTCTTTTTGCCCTTCCCATCTGTGGGAATAGGCAGTGGGCTGTGGAAGTTATCTCAGATGCAGAGGGTGGCTCTGGCTGCACACACAAAGCCTGTGTGCACGTGGGAATATCAGGCTGCTGGCAGTCATGGCAGGACCAGCTCTCAGTCAGGCCCTGATGGCCTTTTAAGCCACATCTTACATCTTAATCCTTCCCTGGAGCCAGAGCTGTAATTCAGTAAGAAGGAATGCAAGCTGAGGTTCAGGTGTGACCAGAGCTCCTGGGGCTGCAGCTGCTCCCTCAGCCTCTGCTGAAATGGAGACCTGGATGAGCAGGATTGAGATGTCCAGCTTCTACCCAGGGGGGATCCACCTGCCTCAGGTGAGGGGAGCATCACAGCCCTCAGTGTAAGCCTGACAAACTCACTTGTTTTCTGCAGATTTTAAACCCCTAAGCTTACATACACAATCAGCAAAGGGATGAAGGGGGTTAAGGATGGGTGTGAGTGAATCTGCTTCCATCTTGCCCTGAGCTTCAAAGGAAGCAGGACTTTATGCAGGCACCATCTCTACAGAGACTGTGGCTTTGTCAGTGCCACTGCAACCTCATCTCCACTCCTGCTCCACATCCTACCCTCTCCCTTCCAGTAGTACCAGTGCTCTTCCCAAAATGCAGCAATTACCTCTGTGACAGTTTTGCTGGACCAGCACAGTGCTGCTGACCTTGGTTAGTTTAGGCTGCTGTGGAACCACACCTCAAAGCATTTAGCTTTCCTGCCAGGTCCCAACTGGGGACTCTGTTTGGCAGCAACCCACCTGACAAATGGTATTTTAAAAAATTTTAAAAATCAGAAACTGGAAAATTGCTTTAACAGCAAGAGGGTTTGCTCTTGATTTTGCAGAAATGATTTTTTAAAGAAGACAAGGTCATATGCGTAGCCTGCTGTCTTATTTGTAATAAGTTTTTCTAAGCTCTCAGACTAGCTGTTCATGTACACAACTTTCACATAAGGCAGCCTCTGAGTAGTGAGAATTACTAGTTTTTGTAGTATCTGTTAATGCTTAAAATGGGAAAGTCTTATTATTCAGCATCTACTTCGAGTCCAGCATAGTTTTTTGCAGCTATTGCTCTTTCAGAGAGCCCTGAGCATGACTGCTTTTCTCTGAAAGCAAGCACTGTGCAGTTCCCCTCTCTGCCAGCAACTGGCATCTGTATTTCCTCTTACTCACACCTTCCCTCTCCAAAGTGCCATGAAGTGCTGGAGCCTCTGGCAACCTTTCTGGAATATCATCATCTTTAACAGCATTCACAGGTGCCCTCATTGCAGAGACTCAAAGGAAAAGGGTTTTCCAGGGATATTCCATGGTGGAATTGTCTTAAGCACACTGGACATTTCAGGAGCACAGCAGTGGCTGTTCCTTACCTCCTTTTCCACGGTCAGTCATCAGCAGCAGGTGCAATGAAGACTTCAGTTCTGGCCTCCAGTGGACTCCTTCCTGCTACAAGAGTAGCTTTGGTCAGTATTGTCTGGCACAGACACAGACAGAACCATTTTCCCAGAGGCCTGAGAACGAAAGGGGAGATTGGATGGTGAGGACAGGAGGGGGAACACTGCCCTGCCTGCCTTGCACACTCAGCTGCACACACACTGCAGCTGCTGTGGGCCAGGCGTGCAAACCAGCTCCCTCCCTGCTGACACCCATTCACTAATGCTGGTGTGGGGGATAACCCACGGGCAGAGCTGCTGTGGGAGGGTTTGGCCTCATCCCGTAACAGCTCTTCTCTAAAATACTGAGATTATGGGGGGAAAAAAGATTCTTTTCAGGGGTGGTCGTGGTGGTGGTGGTTCAGAATCAAACACAATATTAAAAGCAAATAAAGATGCTAATCAGTGGCATATAAAACCTGAAATAGGTAAAATATAAGACAGCAAAAAAACAGCCCAGAATGTGCTTAGAGGAAGGGATCCAAGAGGGCTCTTTTTTTGTGGTGCAGATTGTTTTCGTAGTTCTAACTATGTTTCAGATTTGAAGGAGGCTCCTTTCAGTCTGCCAGAAGGAATAAAAGATCCATCCAAAGGAGAATTTGAATGATTTGTTTTGGCACAGCTGAGCTGCAGTGTTCAAACAGAGGATAATAAGGAAGAGAGTGAAAGTTAAATGCTCACCAGATATACTTTGGCATAAGGTATCTGACAGAGGCAAACCTGTCAGTATAGCCTGATATAAAATTGTCTCAAAGGAAAATACCTGCTCATTTCACATCCATTTCAAACCTGGGCTTGGCATGAGAAGCTGTGCTGCTGCCTGGGTCCCACAGCCTGGAGGGTGTGCAGGACATGGTGAGATCCTTGGCTTTACACCACACAAGGTCTGCCCACGTGTCCTTTGGATGGATTCAGACAGTGAAGCAATTTAATGCCCAGAGTCAAAAATTAGATGTTATTTTCTTCTTTGGATTGAATTTCAAAGTCACTGAAGGGATCTGGCCATACATCTCTAACTGAAACCTGCAGGAGATGGGTGGGTGAAGTCCCTTTTAGTTGTCAGTGGAAAATCACTTGCACACCTTCTAATTCCAAATTCCTGTGATAATCAGCATCAGCTCTGGATCAGCCATCTACACCTATGTACTGAATGCCATGTATCCTTGGGTCCAGGATATTTAACCTCCAAGGAATTGTCTTTTATAGAAAAAAAAAAAACACTGGTATATTTTTTTCTCAATTCTTTTTTATAAATAAATACATACTTTTGATGACAGATGCCTCAGAGACTTCCATGAAACCTTGGGCTGGCACAGGGACAGTGTGAGTGTGAAGAACATCTCTGGCCGAGGTGTCTGATCAGCTGAGCTGCTCGGGGAGCTGCTGAGGTTCAGCTGCTGATCACCAGCAAAGGGCTTTCCCAGCCTGCAGCACCGGAGTGCAGGGCCCCAGGGTGTCCCATCAGGAACCCGCTCTTCCCCCTGACAGTAAAGCAAAACATTTGAGCTCAAATTAAAAAAAAAAAAAACACCAAAAAGGCACAGATGCTGAAAAAAAGGGATTTTTACGTTATGTTTAGAAAACAGTTGGGTGTTTGTGAAAACAACAGAGTAGAACAAAACCTGCCTTTCTAACAAGTTCACTGTAAACAAAAAACTTTGCTTTCTAAAGAGGCCGTGGTCTGGGCACTCTCCAGACACTTGGCCTGTGTTAGAGGAATGAGGGGCATTGTTTATACTGCCGAGACAAAGAAACAGCCACAGAGATTGGGAGTGCTATGGCTGCACTCAGCTGGCAGACCGGTAGTGATGGCAATTCAGATTTGGCTCCAAATAAAAATGTTTTGTTTTGAACTATTTCAAATTAAATGGAAAACCAAAACAGGTGGGGTTTGGGGGTGTTTTTTTCAGTGTTTTGGGAAGGACCCTCGAATCTGTCTTCAGCCTCTGTACTGCTCAGCTCTCACCTCCTCCCACCATTTCCCTACTAGGAAAAACAGAAACCAACCCCTAGTTGGATGTTACTCCTGAGCTGACCCCAACCTCAGTTTTTCAGTTTGACTCTTTGCAGAGGTAAATACTCACCAGGGGATTAAAAAATAAACAAACAAAAACCCCCAAACTGCGGAACGAAAAGAAGAAGAAAGTCAGAAAAAACCGAGTGCATTTCCTCCTGAAACAAGCTGTGGGGGAGCAGCCCCGCATCTCTCTGCAGGATGAGGGACGTGCCCGGCGGCTCCGCCGCTCCCTCGACGCCCCCGCCCCGCCCTGTCCCGGCGGAGCCGCCGCGCTCCGATCCCATCCCGATCCCGATCCCCATCCCATCCCCATCCCGATCCCCATCCCATCCCCATCCCGATCACGTGCCGGAGCCTGGACGCGGACCCAGCGCTTTCCACCCCTCTGCGGTGTCCGGGTGGCGGAGGGGCCGAGCCGCGGCCGCTCCCCCGGCCGAGCGCGGGGCACTGGGGACAGCCCGGGCCGGCCCCGAGCGCTGCTGCTCCCACAGCTCCTTCCCCGGCTCCGGCAAGGGCTGAGGAATGTCCCGCACTAACTGCAGCCAGATGTGCCGGCTTGGCAGCCCACACAGCACCGGGGGGACAGGAGCGGCGCTACCAAATGGGCTGTGAGTATCTGTTCGGCACCTTCGATCAGGGCTGTATCTATTCTGTGCTGCACCTTCGATCAGGGCTCTATCTGTTCTGTTCTGCACCTTCGATCAGGGCTCTATCTGTTCTGTTCTGCACCTTCGATCAGGGGGGGTCGGGGAGGGTTCTGCAGCGAGCAGGGTGAACTGGAGCCTGTCCTCACCGCTTCCCTTCGCCTCCAGCCTGCGGCGCTTTTTTCTGTTGTTGCCTCGTTGCTCTTGCGATGTTGTTCCGTGCAGCACCCTGAACTGCGATGGTTAACGCGCGGCAGGGTCGGCTGCAGGCTCTGAGCACGCAGCCTCCAGCCCGACACATCTGCCTTGCACTCTGCTTCCCAAAGAACTTTTCAGCTGCTTTTACAGAAGCTTGGGGTTTCTCTGCACAGGGACTCCAGCGCTCTCAGACAGGGTTTCCTCTCAACCACCAACATGTTCCAGTGGTGGCACTTTACATTTACAAGCCATTCTTCATCCGTAAAAGGACATGAATCTTTCCCACGTTTGAGCAAAACACAGGAATTTCCAAGCTCTCTAGTGTCACAAAGATAGAAAGAAAATAGATCAATCCCTGTGACATGGGCAGTTACTGATCACATTTTTAAATAGCTTTGGGGCAGATTCTGATACAGCTATTGAAATTAGTGGGTATTGAATTAGTATGTGCACCAGCACATTCTCCCTCTGCCATTTGTGCCTGGGTGTAATAACACATCCATCCTAATGCACTGTGAGTGCTGGGGCTTGGGGCATGTCAGCCAAATTATTTACCAGATCAGAAGAGGGTCTGAGAGCTCCAGAGGCAGTGAGTGCTACAGCCTGGGCAGGGCTGGGAAAGGAAGGTGGTTGTTTCAGTGGGGCTGTTTCTTACCCTTTCACAAGCCTGCAAGGGTTTATTCTCCTCCTGGGGCCAAGAAAAATGAATGTTTGGGAGAGAGAGGGCAGGTTCCTCACCCTGTGCTTGGCTGCTCAGCAGGGGCCAGTCTCCCCAGAGCACTCAGCTGTGAGTTGAGCTGCTGAGCTCTCTGCAACTCTGAAAATCAGGCTACCAGCACACACAAGACTGTGCCTGAACTTAGGGAAGTGCCTCTTGAGGCTGCTGAGCCTGCAGAAAGGGATTGTGTGTTAACCTTCTCCTACCCTGCAGGTAGCTGAGCACTCCCATTAGAGATGTGCTCCTGTGCTGAGGAGGAGCTGGAGCTTTCCCTGTTTGCTGGGCAGGCAAACATCCTGCACAGGCACTGCCACGATGGCTCCTCCTGCCCTGAAAGGGGCAGAGAACATCGGGCACTGCTGAAATCCACCTGCTCTGGTGGGATGAAGCTCATCTGAACATACCTGTTTTACACAGGTGCAGCTGCAGGATGGGCACAGGGTATGTCGTTATTGTTTCTTGAACACTGTCAGGACTCCTCCTGAGGCACAGGAACAGCAGCACCAGGTGAGGAGGGTCCTGGGAATTTGCTTTGCTCTTGCTGAGGGAATGAGAAGGGAAAAACTGCTGGAAACAAGGCAGGAGAAGGACATGGACACAGGCAGTGCCCTATCCCCTGCAGCCAGAGCCTGGGCAGGGCTCAGTGTCCAGCCCTGGGTGTTCAAACATGGCTTTGTTCTCGTGAAAAGCATTCAACCAACATGAAATGAAAACAAATATCCCAAACCCAAAGCATTGCCCCAGAGCATCCCCACCAAGCAGAGTTTTCCAAGCTTCCCTGGTGATTACCAAAAAAGTCTCCTCAAACCCATCGCTGCTGGATCCCACACAGGTTCTTTAGCTCATTTTACAGAGGAACAGGTAACACACCTCCATCAGCAACCACAGCCCCTCACGCTGCACGGCCACATAATGCACGTGACCCACTCTCTGCTGTCCAGCCCAGACAGTGGCAGCTCCAGCATCAGGAGTCAGGAGAGAGCCAGAACCATTTCCCAGGCAGCTGGGGCAGCAAGCTGAGCCAGGGACAGCCAGGGCAGTGCCTGGTGGGGATGGATGTGCCCGTGAGCTGGGCTGGGATGAGTGGCCAGCAGATCATGGTGCCAGTTTGGGACCCCCTGGTTTGGTGTAACCCCGTTTCCCGCTCACCTTGCTGTCACAGCTGCTTGTTCCAGGGCTGGCTGGGTCAAATAACTGTTCTTCAAGGCACAAAGCAACGTGCCAGAATCACCATTCTTGACTGAATTCGGAGACAGCATCCAGAGGCTTTTTCCCCCGTTGGCCCTGAAGAGAAGTGCCAGGTGCTGGAGGTGTGAGGAGTGCTGCAAGGGAAGGAGAATTCCAGGATGAGCTCAAGGCTTCACGTCATTCAACTGGGAAAGAAGGACTAGCAATTTTTTTCTATTTTAATCATCGTTTAACTGCTTTTATTGCAGCTGTTCTTGGCCATATTTCAGAATGCTCCTCTCAAATAAATGGAAAGCAGGCAGAGGACTGGGCCTTTTGCCTGAGTGTGAGCAGGGCAGGGCAGATTCCTGCCTGGACACTCCCCAGGGTGCCATGCCCAGCTCTGGCCCCTTTCGTGGCCTCTCGTGCCATGCAGGCTGTGCCCCACTTGGTTCTTTCAGCACTTTCCTTATTTAGGGGCTCCCCATCTTGCCCCCTCATGGCCATGGGACCCCTCAGCCTCTTCCTACTGCCCAGCTCAGCCCCCTCAGGTCCCTGGTGCTCCCCCTCCCCCAGGACCCCAGAGGGGGCAGTGCTGGCAGCTCAGCCCACATTCCTGAGGCACCCAGGGATGCAGCAGCTCACGAGCCCAGCCTGGTTCCCCAGAGCTGCATCTGCCTGGGCTGTGGATACTCAGGGAGATGCTGTGCTGAGAAATGTTCTGCTGTGCTCACCCCTCTTCAGTTTGGCATCAGATATTTCCTGCTCACTTTGATAGCCCTGACATTTTTTTTTCCCCTGGTGTCAAGATGGATGAATAATCTCTCTGGCTTTAGGACATAGCAGAGCATCAGCCAGAATGATCAGTCCCTCTGTACTCAGCTTTTCCCACACTGACATCCACGCAGAGAGATTACACCTGGGTAACAATCGAGGGTGTTTCCTTCCAAAGAAAGAAATATCTAACAAAGACTGGAAAAATCCATATAATTAGATCAAGGAATCACTTCAAGGGCTGGCAACTTTGTCTGAAAAAGAGATGTCTCTATTGAGCACTGAACTGCTTTATTTCAGCGTGGAAATCACTATTTCAGATCCTTTCCTTTCAATAAATGAATACACAGAAGAAAACCCGGGCTATCAGCCCAGGCTTGTAACAGTTCAGGGTTTTTCTTGGCTTTTCCAAGGGCATTTATTGCCAGAGTCTGAGATGCTGGCAGGATAAATCTGTAAGCCATGGAAATTACGAGTTCCATGACACACACAGTTTATTCCAAACCCTTGACGATAAAATTAAACACAGGAAAGAGCCAGGACTTTCATCCAGCTCCTTAATTACCATCTGGAGTCTGGCAGCTGAAATAAGATCAAACTTTTCTATAAAAAGGGAAAAAGAAGTTTGCTACGACTGAGAGAGTGGAGATGGGACTTCACAGGGAGCTCAGGTGGAGACACAAAGGTGCCAGTGCAATCAGGATTTACCCCACTGGGACGTGCAGCTCCCACTCCCTTCGGAAATGGCACGCCCAGAGCTGCACAGCACCTCAACAAAGCTCATCCCAGCACAACAGAGGGACAAAAATACCTCACTTTGAGTTCTTGTGAACTTTCTGAGACAGGGTCCCTGTTTCAGGTATCTCAGTAGCACCCAGCAAAACCTCTGCCCGTGGTTAGGCCGGAGGAGGACAGACAGACAGACAGACAGACCCCTTCTCCGTAGCAGATCCAGTTCATGTCCCTTCATGTCCCCAGGACTTCTGGAAAATTACTGAAGGCAACGTGGGGGAAAGCCTGCTGGGAAGCACATCTTCAGAAGGAGGATTCAGTACAAGACTGGAACATGTTGGTTGCTGCAGAGATGCAAACTCACACCCTCCACGTGTCAGGGGGGACTGTTCCCTGGGGCTGGAAACAGAGATCAGCCAAGTCATGTGGCAGAAAGAACATAAACAGGAAACAGATCCTGAATATTCTAAACATTTCTAACAACAATTTACAAGAGGTCTGAGAAAATTCTACAATCCTGCCATTAGAATCAGAGCTGTGCCAGTTAAAACATCTGCCCAGGCTGGGAGAGGAGGGAAGGTACAGTGAAGAGAGCCAACAAATGAAGAAAAACCCAGTCTAAGAGAGGCCAGAAAAAGGCAAGAAACGAGCCCTGAGGAAAAAACATCGTCAGCAGGACAAGGAAGAGGTGTTTTTAAATCCACCAGAGCCTTACACCAAGGCACAGACATGCTGTTTGCCGAAAGAAAGCTTTCAGAAACACTGGAGATAAAGCAGATGAGGAGCTGCACCTGAGGAAAAGATTGGTGATACCATAGGATGACAAAATACTCTATTCCAACATGCAGTGAACCAGTAATGGAAAAGCAGAATATTAAAATTATGAGGTCTGAGTAATGTCCCTCTAACAGTGTTAAAGGGGCTGGCCAAGAAATCAACCAGTTTTGCTTCCTTGTAAGTCTTGAAATATTGCCCAGGCACTGCAGGTGCCACGTGTGAGCACTGACACAGTCAGTGGATGTATAAAATACCTGTGTGCACTTGGGGGAGAACTTCTGGGGGGAGCTAAACTTTAGAAACGTGCTCCTTGCTGATGGCTGAAGGATTGTTTCTGACTGTCACTGCCCTCCCCCTGCAGGGAGGGTGCCCTGAGCACAGCCCAGCTGTTGGAGCAGGCAGGGGTGGGGAGAACCTGCCTGTGCTGCAGCTGCACACTCCTGGCCAGCTGTGGCTACGTGCTCCTTGCTGCCTTCTTACCANCTGTGCCAGCCCCTCAGCTCTGTCTGTGCCTCCCTGGCCTGAGTCAGGAAGGGTAAAAGCAGCAAGGAACAATTATGAAGCTGAGGGGAAAAAGAAAAAAGCAATGACTTATGGAAGATTGGCACTGATGTTCATCATTTTCCACCTTGCTCTTCCCAAAGCAGTGAAATCTCTGGAATGGCAGCGAGGGATGCAGGAGCAAGGGCTGATTTTGGGTTGTGCTTACAGAGTGGCTTTCAGGGTGAACAATGAACTAACCAAGTTTGGAGTGCCAGGCTCAGGGTTAGGTTGGCAAGTTGCTCAAGGTGTCTCAGTGCCTGTGTGAGTAAAACACACTTGGCTGCTGTTTTTTTTTAAAATGATCTTTCAGTCAGTCTTGCCTGCATGCTCCAGACCTGCCAGATCCTCGCTGCTGACACACTCTGTTCATTTACAGATGGACACTGGTGCCAGGCAGCTCAAACACAGCTTTTAGCAGTCCAGGAACAGCACAGAGACAATGAGAGTTCGCCTCAAGGGGGATGTGATCTGCACCCTCCTCCTGCTGGCAGCGCTTTGCTCTTTACTCTACTCCCAGCTAGAACATTTAGTCCCAGCAGGAAACAAGGAGCCAACACAGCAGAGGCCCCCAGGAGCCCCAAAAATATTCTCAGATCCCCGAGCACCTCAGAGACTGACGCCAGCAGAGGCAACAGCAGCCAGACCCCAGGTTACCCCCACCATTCGACGAGCAGAAGTGGCCAACGACAGGGTCCAAACTACAACTCCACCCCCGCCAACTGATCCCGCCTTCGACTTCAAGCACTATCTCCTAAACAAGGACCACAGGAACTTCAACCTCCTCATCAACCAGCCCAGGAAATGCCGGAAAACACCCGGAGGGCCCTTTCTGCTCGTTGCTATCAAGTCGGTAGTTGAAGACTTCGACAGGCGTGAGATTGTCCGGAAAACCTGGGGCAGGGAGGGCTTGGTGAACGGGGAGCAGATCCAGCGAGTGTTCCTCCTGGGAACACCAAGGAACAGGACGGTGCTGGCCACGTGGGAGACCCTGATCCAGCAGGAGAGTCAGACGTACCGGGATGTTCTGCTCTGGGACTTCGTGGACACTTTCTTCAACCTGACCCTGAAGGAGATCCACTTCCTGAGCTGGGCTGCCGAGTTCTGCCACAGCGTCAAATTCATCTTCAAAGGCGACGCCGACGTTTTCGTCAACATGGAGAACATCGTGGATTTCCTCAAGAGACACGACCCCGCCGAGGACCTCTTTGTCGGGGACATCATCTACAACGCCCGTCCCATCCGCGCCCGGCACAGCAAGTACTACATCCCAGAGACCATGTACGGGCTCAGCGTCTACCCGGCCTACGCAGGGGGAGGGGGGTTCCTGCTGTCCGGCCGCACCCTGGGCAGGCTCTCCAGGGCCTGCAGGGAGGTGGAACTCTTCCCCATCGACGACGTCTTTCTGGGCATGTGCTTGCAGAGGATCAACCTCAAGCCCGTTCTGCACGAGGGGTTCAAGACCTTCGGCATCGTCAGGCCCTCTGCTGCCCCACACCTGCAGACCTTCGACCCCTGCTTCTACAGGGACCTCATGGTGGTTCACAGCCTGAAGGTCGCCGAGATCTGGCTGATGTGGAACCTGCTGCACAGCCCTCGCCTTTCCTGCACCCAGAAGAAGCAAGTGAAGAAGCCTTTCCAGTGGAAAAAGAAAGCTCAGAGCACAGCACAAGAACCCCAGCTCAGATAGTGCAGGCAGGCTGCAGCACAGACACAGCAAACAGCTGGGAAACAGAGCCTGCATGCAGCCAAACCAACCACAAGTGTCTGAGCACATCTTATTGTTAGGAGAACACAACAAACGACTGCAGGAACGCGCCCAAATTCCACATTTGCACATACATATCATGTAGGTCCTCCTCTCTTAATGAGTCCAAATAATCGTAGCAACACATGTAATTTATTATTATTTATTAGGATTACAGCAGTGCTTAGTGGGACGGTGTGTAAAAGCACACTGAAAAATGCAGTCCTTGGAGATTTTTCAGCATTGTTAGAAATGTGAGAAATGAAGACAGACACAGGTAAGAGCACAGGGATCATTGTCAACTTGCTACTTGACCTGGACCCACTGACAAATGACTGAACAGTAAACAGGGTAAAGGACACCAAGTCACCTCAGCGTAGGCTCAGGCGAAACCACTGCTGCCTGCTTGGTTTTCTGCAGGCCTTGTAAGAAGAGAACAACTCAGAGGTACTGAAAGGGGGGCCCACATGTTGCAGATTGGATTACAGGAAATCAAACGATGCTGAGGCTGGCCTGGCTGGCTGAGCAAAGGACAGGTATGCAGATAACTGGGAAGGAACAGACTCCCAAAGGGCCTTTAAAGAAGGACAAGAACTTTGAGCTGATCCCTCTAAGCCTTGACCTTCTGTTACTTCTGTCGACTCCTCTGTTCAAACATCTGCTCCACTGACACACTCAGGACCCAGAGGGCCAGTTTTTGACCCTTCCCTGAGCTCAGGCTCTCTGCACTGTGCTGGCATTCAGGGAACACTCAAAAGTCATCCAACAGCATCTGATCACTCTCACCAGTGCAGTTCATCCCAGATCCTTTGGCCTTTGCTTTTAAGGGTAAAACCCCTCAGAGCTGCTGCTTCAGTCACATCTGGGAGCTCCTTCAGACCAGAGAACAGCTTGTCAATGGACTGGGCTGGTCTCTCTAGACCTCCTGCTTGGCACACAGTCAGCTGCAAAGAGCAGCCAAGACTTTCCATGCTGCTGTGGGTGTCACACGAGGGGGAAAAGCCGTTTTCAGACCAAAGGGCTTCAGAATAAAAGCCCATCTAAATTTATTGCAAGGAATCAAAACCACACAGCAATCTTTCTGTTGGGCTTCCCAAGGTCCAGTCAGTAACTTCTGAAGTATTTTAGGCATCAGACAAGAACACTGGATTACAGACTTTTTCAAAGTATAGTCAATACTTTGCATTTTGTTTTTCCCAACAGCAGACTACCTTAAAAGAATATCCTTTCTTTAGACATCAGAGCAGAAGGAAATTCCTCTAAATCAGGGTTAAAAAGCTACAAAATTCACAGGGCAAAGAGCCTGAATTCCCCTTTGATACTGTGTGTTTGTTAGTTCTTTTGCAGTCTTTTCCCCTCCAAAACCCTCCTGTCCATCAGAGAACCCCCAGTGCCATCCCTGTGGATGGCACACAAACACAGCCCCAGAGGAAATGACTACCAGTCATAAACATCCAGGAAGCTGCTGTCCCTAGAACAGAGCCTGCAGCACAGCTGCATTTCATCTGTGCAGAACCTTCCTCCCACCAGCAGCAGCTCAGGCTCAGTTCTTGTACCAGCTGTGCACACCATGGACACAGCAAGCTGCTGGTTTCCACGGGTAGATTATTAACAACAGTCTCACATCATCTTAATCTTCATGGTGAATTTAAGCCTTACAGTCATGTGTTTCCAAGGAAAGGTCAGCTGTACAGAAATCAAGAGATTTCTGCATTTGAGATCTTTACAAGATGTGATCCTGAAATACAAAATGCTGGGGTGAGCTGCACGAGGAGCCCTGCAGGGGGTAGAACCAAACCAGAGCTTTGCTGGGGGGAGAAAGTCACCCTTGCCCCTGCCTGCTAACATCTGTGATACTTGTGTATTTATGAGCTTGTACAAGAATGTGTTACCTGTGATTGGTTTACAGTTTGGGAAGTTATTTATACCATAATTAAAAGCCAGCATGCAGATGTGCCTCTAGATGTCGGAGTGAGTCTGTCTAGAACACCTGCACACACCTGGTAAGACTGATACCACAGGGAGTTTTCAGGAAGACACTGGCATGAAAAATACATGATGCATTATTTTGGATAACTTGGTCTTTCCTTGTGCTGGATTTAATTTAACGGCAATGACAGAAAAATAAGCACGTCTTACCTTGCCATTTCCCACAGGCAGCTGTTCAGGTTCAGCAATCTGCATTAGGGTCTTCCTTTTAAGCCTGGAGATGCACAGATTGGCTCCTCCCTCTATAATGCCTTCAGAGATCTGCAATCTACCACAACACAGCATTAACGAGTGCATTTTGTCCCAGACCAAAGTTGCTGCTGAACATCTGTGTTGACACAGCCTGTGCCAGCACATACCCCCAGAGCTGGCAGAGCCCGAGCACACTGTTTACTCCACGGCTCAGCCTGGGGAACAGATCATTTCTTTTAGCCAGTGAACACTAAATCGAGTCTCTGTTCATGAAAGATACATCTGCTTTTGTTCTGCAGCCTCTGCTGCAGGGCCTCTTTGACCTGGCTTTAAGTTTGCATTCCTGCTGAGGAGCAGGAAGCTCACAGAGCCCATGTGTGTGAGCACAGTGCTCAGGGAAATGGTGGAGAGCAGCGCTGCAGCCCCTGCAGTTCCTCATCCTGCTCACTGCCACAGCAGGCAGAAAGCCTCTGGCTCCATGCAAGCTGCAGACTGTTTCCTAGAAGAGGAGGGTCTTTTCAGAAAATCCTGAACCCTCAGGTGTGCATGAGAGCTGGCAGGAAGGACCCTCCACTGACCTTTCTGATGCCCCTCAGAAAAACAAAACCATCCATTTCAGGAGGACCTTCTGAGGAGCTTTAATTAACTGGCTAATTCAGCACACCAGTCATGTCTGCTAAAAAGCCCTTGCTTGGCAGTTTTTTCCATGACTAACCCCTGATGAGAAAACATAAAAACATCCCAAGTGGGTTCCAGCAGTAGCAAGAAAAGCAAAGCAGACTTTCTCAGGGCAGGCATAAACTTCTGAAATTAATAAAGTACAGTAGGTTTTATTGAATCCCAGGGATCCACACAGTCATGTTTTATTCCTACTGTACATAAGCAGCCAGATTTGGTCACTCTAACGAGCAGAGCTGGCTTGAACCTCACATTCAACACCTCCGAGTGCATCTCTGGGCACAGGAACTGGTAGTGAATGCCAAGATCCCTCAGTCGGTCAAGCCCCTGCAGACTCAGCATCACCAAAAACAGAGCCAAAGATGGCTTAGGCAGTGGGGTGGTAAAATCTTGTTCTTCCTGTCTGCAGTTTAATTATTCATCTTTCTGCAGCAGGTTCTCGGCAGCAAACCCAACTGCAAACTCAAACAGTACAAAACAATCACACAGCTCAGAGAATCCTCACTGAATGTTAGCAAGAACATTCCCTGGAGAGTGCTGGAAGAGAATCAGATCAGAGAGAGAGAGTCCAGCCCGGAGCCCAGCCTGAAGAACTGCCAATCTCCTGGCTTGTGCCTCTTCCAGCTGGAGTTGCAGCCCAGATAATGCCCACATTTCTTAACAATGCCACTGACCCCATGGACAGCTTTAAAAAGCAGCAGAACTTCCAAACACGACTCTTCATCACTCTCTAGGCCTACGGTCAGTAAGAAAACCAGACTGAGAAATGGGAGGGGAAAGTAAACCCCAAAGAAGGAGCACATCTGAGTCTCTCCAAGAGTGGGAAACAGCTCCCCCCCCATTCCCGACCAGCCCAGTGCTCCCTCCAATCCATCCAAACCCAGCTTATGGATCTTCTCTCTCTCCCTCACTTTCCCAGCCCATCTGTTGAGATGTGCTAAAAACAGGAAAAAAGTGTAAAATATCCCAGGTGTGCAGGGACAGCCTTGTCCCAGAGGGCTGGCTGAGCTGAGTGGGGATCAAGGCATGGTGTTAAATGGTGTGTGCAGCCCTGGAAGCAGAATAAGGGGGGAAGTTTCCTCCATAACCTCTCTACTTGGGGATGCACCAGAGCTACCAGTGAGGGAGGGGGAAACTCGGGATTTCAGGGCTGCAGTTTTTCCAGGAGGGAACACAGTGAATCAGACTGTTCTGATTATTTAGTTGATTAGACTGCACACTGCATAATCATGCAGGGGTTTTTTTGTGATTGGTATTTACACTAAATGTGTCTCTGAAGGATAATAATACTGGAATGAAACTTATGCACTCAGTGGAATATCTAGTGTAGGTGTGAAACATTAAAGCATTTAACACCAGCTTCCAGCATTGCAATATGCAGTACTTTAAAATAACTAAAGGAGTAACATTTAAAGGGGAATTCATTAGTGTATCAAAGAGAGAAGATTACATTAAATCATTGCAGCTAGTCCAGAACAAAAGGGACTGTTATAACACTATCACAGCACAGTGAGCGACCCACTCTGCAAACTGCAGCTCACCTTTCCTGCTGCTTCAGGCTCTTGGTATTCCTGCATTACGAGGAGGAATGATTTTACCTGCTGGAAAAACAGACATCCCCACAAACACCACAACAGCTTTGCATGTAAGATCTGGCAGATAAAACATTTAAACAGGGACTGTACTATTTACAGCAGAAGTTCACACAGGTAAAGAATGTGATATTTAAGTTGCACCTGAACCCTCCACGTGACACAGCCCAGCAAAACCAAATCCCTTGGTGGGTGCAGTTTTCACTCTGTGAACTGAACTGGTTCCATCACGGTCCGTGACAAAGCCTCCTGCTTCACTAACCCCTACTCACTCCCCCTTGTTTTGCTTCAGCCTTCTCTCTGACACATCCTGGGCCACTAAAAGAACCTTTGCACAAAAACACAACCAGAATTAACTTGTACTTTAACTGCCCAGGCACTCAGAGTGAGGTGTTTATTTGGCTGCGTGTGCTGTGCCAGGTTATGTGTGGCAGAGTCACAGAGGAGGCTTTGCCGTGGTGTACTCAAGGTAAAAAAAAAAAAAAAGAAAGAAAAAATAAAAGGTTCACTGGGCAAAGGTTGAACTGGAACACTTGTAACCAGCATGGAGTAATGTTTCTTACAGCATGACACCAAAAATTATCCTGAACTCCAAGACCTGGGAAACACAAGCAGCCCATGAGAAATCCTGCCACATCAGACAGCTTGGGCCTTGCCCAAAAACTCTGAGGCAAGACAGCCCTGAGGGCTTGGCCACAGCACTTCTTTCAGAGTAAGAGCCACGCTGGCTCCCACTGCAGCTCCACTCTCAGTGCACATTCTGAGCCACCAGACACAAAACTTACACAAGTCCACTGAGCAGTTAGGTGACGAACAGGCTCTAACAACAGGTAGAAAGCCCACGTGAAGTGGGCAGCAACACCCCAGATCTCCCTCTGGAAAACACCAGCTGGCACCCAACCTGCAGCCAGCCCCAGGAACGATGAGTCACCACCTTCTTGTAATGCTGAGCCACAGGGGAAGATTTTGTTTTAAACAGGTTTGATGGGAGCTCTGGAATCTGAACGATCATGAGCGCATGAATCAGCTCTCTCACACCACCTGATCACTGTTTCAACCAAAAAATCTGTTTAGAATTACAAGTGTGACAGTTCCCAGCAGCAGCAGCTTGGGTTTCCTCTACAGGAACTGCATTTTGGGGAACAGAGGGTTTAGTATTACACAGCAGCACTGATCTCTGGAGCACTGCCTGTAGTCCTCACAGGAGCCCAGGGACTGCTTGCAGGCCTAAAGAATACGGGAAGAAATGTCAGCTTCACCTCCCAAAAGAAGGGCAGTTTTATTAGGTGTAAACAAATGAATTTTGTGGAAAATACTGCAATCTTCAAGTTAAGCAGACACACACACATTAACTCTTCATTTCTTTACAAAGGAAAAAGGCACACATCAAAATAAGCACTGCGTGTTTTATTAAAAATGCAAGGGTACTTAACTTTCTATCAAACAGTTTTATCACCTGAAAACAAAACGATGGACCAACACAAATGTTGCCAACATGCAGGATCTGTATCAAACCACACAGAACTCTAAGAAGGACCAAGGGCACCTGCTGAGACGGGATCTGCTGCAGCCCCAACCTGTTGTTTCCTGGGGAGGGGAAGGTGATGATGCCCTGGCAGAGCTGGAGCTCTGCACAGAACACCTTTTGGTTCACATGAACTCCCAGAGGAGCTGCTCCAATCTCCAATCTTCAGATCTCCTCCCCCCCAGGTCAAACACTGTGCTCAGCCCAGCAGCAGCTCTCAGGAGGAAAAGCTGCCTTTAATTTTTTGCCTGTGTAGATAAATTTTCAATATGAAGGGACTGACCTAGAGAAGAATCTGGGTTGTTAGGAGAGCACTGTTAATTACCTGCACTGTTTTAGTCACCTGGACACACCAGAGCATTGCAAGTGAAGATGGGAGTCCCTGTAGTTATCAGCCCCTTTGGTGCTGCTCCTGTCCTAAGGCTGGGGGTGCATGCTGCAGCAGCAGGCCTGACCTCACCCTGCTGAAGGATCTCAACTGAATATGCCTGAGAGAAGGATACTGGCACCATCTGCACAGCCATTAGTCACAGATTCCCATCAAGGATTTATCTCCTCCTGCAGCTTTTGTGGAGCCTTTATCAGAAAAGGAGTAATAAAAATTAATTGAAGTTAGCACCAGGATTGCTGTCATACTTTAGCAACAAGAACAAGCATGCACACGTTCTCAATTCAGAGATCACAAAGTTCTGCAAGGGCCGAGGGGCTCGAGAACACAGCAGGAGAATTCCCATTTGCTGCTCTCGCTGCAGGCACTGCCTCCCTCCTGCTGGGCAGGTCACACTGCTGGACACGCCAGCCATCTGCACCACACCATCCATCTACCTCTACCAACTCCAGCCACCTCCACCAACTCAACTCCAGCCACCTCCACCAAATCCATCCACCTCCACCAAATCCATCCACCTCCAC